TGGTAGAGCCCCCTCCCTTATTCAAGCCCTCTTGCTCTTCCTTTCCTCTTTACTGTCATCTGTGAGCCTTTTGAGTAAATGATCTGTTCTTCTATCCCAACCTTGCAATCACCCCAATTTCTCACCTCTGGCATAGTAGTTTTCCTTGGCCTTGCCGGTTTTCTCAATCTGAGTTTGCTTGAATATGTTCTCACACCTCCCCTCTTCTAGGGAATATTTTTGGATAGAGCTATGGTAGCGTTTACGACACCATGATTGAAATTTCAATGGTCAATATTTAGCAAAAACCTACCATTACTTTCAATTGGCTCCTATAATTACAAGCCAATGCCTGCTACATAAGAAGCCTGCAGTGCTCAAGGGCCCCAGGGATATGTTACACTAACTACTGAAAAACCAAATAAGAATCTATAATATGAGAAATGTTGGAATATTGCAATACCTTTCTCTTCAATATTTTGGAAAGCCTACTTGCAATTGTGGAAAAATGGTGAACTAACATTGTAAACATGTGAATTGACCAGATTCTAGAGTAGATAACACTAACCTTGTTTCTTTGATTCAGTTCCTGAAGTATCTGCGTTGGCTTGAGATCTAATTTGTGCAAGGAATGCCACTGCTTCAACTGTTTTTGGATGTTCTTCTCCAAGAATCTTCTTTCTTACATCCACAACCTGGACTTCCAGCCTGGCTGCATCTGTGTATCTTTTTAGATGGAAATGTGTGATTGCAAGATCTTCCATTCCGTTGATTGTATCAGGATGTTCTTCTCCAAGAAGTCTGGTTCTCATATTTAGAACTTCAATTTCAAGCTCCTCTGCATCTGCATATTTTCCTAGCCTCCTATATGTACTTGCGAGATTACCCATGGCCAAGATTGTATGTGGGTGCTCTTCTCCAAGAAGTCTGTTTCTCATATCTAGAACTGTGATTTGAAGCTTCTCTGCATCTGCATATTTTCCTAGACCACTATATGTATTTGCAAGATTATTCATGGCCAAGATTGTATCTTGGTGCTCTTCTCCAAGAAGTCTGTTTCTCATATCTAAAACTTTGATTTCAAGCTTCTCTGCATCTGCATATTTTCCTAGCCTCCTATATGTATTTGCAAGATTACCCATGGCCAAGATTGTATCTGGGTGATCTTCTCCAAGAAGTCTGTTTCTCATATCTAGAACTTTGCTTTGAAGCTTCTCTGCATCTGCATATTTTCCTAGCTCCTATATGTACTTGCAAGATTACCCATGGCCCAGATTGTATCTGGGTGATCTTCTCCAAGAAGTCTGTTTCTCATATCTAGAACTTTGATTTGAAGCTTCTCTGCATCTGCATATTTTCCTAGCCTCCTATATGTACTTGCAAGATTATTCATGGCCAAGATTGTATCTTGGTGCTCTTCTCCAAGAAGTCTGTTTCTCATATCTAAAACTTTGCTTTGAAGCTTCTCTGCATCTGCATATTTTCCTATGCTCCATATGTATTTGCAAGATTACCCATGGCCGAGATTGTATGTGGGTGCTCTTCTCCAAGAAGTCTGTTTCTCATATCTAAAACTGTGATTTGAAGCTTCTCTGCATCTGCATATTTTCCTAGCCTCCAATATGTATTTGCAAGATTATTCATGGCTGAGATTGTATCTGGGTGCTCTTCTCCAAGAAGTCTGTTTCTCATATCTAGAACTTTGATTTGAAGCTTCTCTGCATCTGCATATTTTCCTAGCTCCTATATGTACTTGCAAGATTACCCATGGCCCAGATTGTATCTGGGTGCTCTTCTCCAAGAAGTCTGTTTCTCATATCTAGAACTTTGATTTGAAGCTTCTCTGCATCTGCATATTTTCCTAGCCTCCAATATGAACTTGCAAGATTACCCATGGCTGTGATTGTATCTGGGTGATCTTCTCCAAGAAGTCTCTTTCTGATATCTAGAACTTTGATTTGAAGCTTCTCTGCATCTTCATATTTTCCTAGACTCCGATATGAACTTGCAAGATTACCCATGACCCAGATTGTATCTGGGTGATCTTCTCCAAGAAGTCTGTTTGTCATATCTAGAACTCTGCTTTGAAGCTTCTCTGCATCTGCATATTTTCCTAGACTCCTATATGTATTTGCAAGATTATGCATGGCCAAGATTGTATGTGGGTGCTCTTCTCCAAGAAGTCTGTTTCTCATATCTAAAACTGTGATTTCAAGCTTCTCTGCATCTGCATATTTTCCTAGCCTCTTATATGTAATTGCAAGATTATTCATGGCCCAGATTGTGGCTGGGTGCTCTTCTCCAAGAAGTCTGTTTCTCATATCTAGAACTTTGATTTCAAGCTTCTCTGCATCTGCATATTTTCCTAGCCTCACATATGTAATTGCAAGACTAGCCATGGACCAAATTGTAGCTATGTCATCTTCTCCAAAAAGTCTCTTTTTCATATCTAGAGCTTTCATGTCAAGTTTCTCTGCATCTGCATATTTTCCTAAATTCTGGTATGTAGTTGCAAGTTTACCCATGGCTCTGATCGTATCTGGGTCCTCCTCACCAAGAGTTCTGCTTCTTGCATCCAGCACTAGAATTTGAAACTTTTCTGCCTCACTGAAATACCCCTGCTCACTCAACAATTTCCCAATTTTTTCATGAGCATCATCAAAGTATTTATCAACCATTTCCTTCTTTGTCATGAGACTATGCTGTATATTGGCTCTCAAATGAGTGACTAAAATCCTTCTAAACTGATATGGCTGCTTATCAAAGTCATCTGGCAGAGAGCAAGCTAACATTCCATTTGCTATCAAACAGTATTTCTGTCCATCTTCTGAGGACATTCTGTCTCTTCCCCATGCATGAATAAGTGGGTGCATGGTATAGATGCCTTTGAATGAAACCAGTTTGATCAGGCTAAAAGCTAGTAATACTCTAATTCCCTCTTTGAATTTGTAATTATCCCATTTTCCTGTTTTGTGCAGCTGAAGCAGTGTGCAGTCAATTATGGGGCTTGCAAGAGGCAAGGCAAACTTCTGCTCATTATCTCCATATTTCTGAGTAGCAGCATAAGAAAAAATCTCTTCTGTAATGCCATCAAAATGAAAGAAGGCAAACATTGCCAGAAGAAGCATTGCACTCTTAGCTGCCTCAGCTTCTTGAGAATCACCACTTTTAGCTCTTGCCTGAATTTCTTTGACTGATAGCTCCCAAGTCCCATACACAGTTCTGTTATACTTAGATGCCCCTTTGAAAGCTGGGTAAGATAATAGTCTCTCTCTGTATTGAGAATATTCATCAAGATAGTCTCTTATGTCTCTGCCCCCAAAAGCAATGAAAGCACCAGCCTGATCAATAGCCAGAGGAATGCAAAAGAGCTCATTCACAACCTTGGAAGCCTCAGCTTGTAAATCTTCTTGAGACTCATCCAAGCAAGCAGCCTTTAAGAGTAAAGAGATAGCATCACTTTCTTCCATCTCTTTCACCTCAAGAGAATTCTGATGTAAAGTCAAATGTTTTAGGCCAGAGTTGCGACTAGTTATCAGAATATTCCCTCCTAGCCCAGATGGAAAATATTGTTCAAGTTCCTCAGGTGTAAGATTATCAGCATTGTCAAAGACCAGTGCATAGTTTCCTCTCAGAGAGCTAATCCACTGTAAAGCAGATTGAGGTGAACCATCCAGAGAAGAAGACCGAGCCTCAGGAAGGTTGCAGATTCCCTTCAGTGCCTGTGTGATTGTACCAACTGAAGATGCATCAATCCAGAAAACATGGGAAAAGCTGGGAACCCATCAGAAACAGGGACTAAGTAATATGATGGAGTACTTACTAGTCAGCCATATCCTCAATGAACCTCAAACAAATCTGAGTCTTCCCGATACCCCCCATGCCATACAACAAAAAGAATTTTCGAGGGCGGAGTTTATCGTTGCCTTGGGCAGTAAAATGTTCCTTGAGTTTTGCGAGAACGTCAGTACGTCCTGTGAACCGAATACTTGAGTTTGGTTTTTCGGGAATCGCTGCGTCGGATTTCGTTTTGTTGCCAGCGCTAGTGTAGTTATTGATCTGCGCAAAATACCAACTGATTAGTGTGTGAGACGAGGGCATCAGAGCGCTTCACTTACATTATCGCCAGCCACGAATGTGCCCCCTCTTATAACGACATTCCGAGCACCTTGGAAGATATGGTTTTCACTCATGTTGGAAGTGGAGCAGATGTGGGCGAAGGAAAGAAGCGACAACTTGCAACAAACGCCACACGTTGACCATCAGGCATCGTTCGCGTTTTGCCGGTAAGCGCTCACCACAGCTCTTTGTCACCTGTCCCACTGGGCGCTCGGAACCCGGTTCAGAGAAGCGTAAACGTTTCTGCGCAGGGACAGATGATCGGAGATGAAGCTTGAAGTGCTTCAAGTTTTGGTTCACACTTTCACTTGTTAGTACCGCTCCCTCTTCGTTCTTCCCTCTCCTGAGATTGAGTGGCTGCATTGCATGACTCCGTCTACTCCCATCGTTCCCCTTCCCCGCGCTCAATGTGAACGTGCTAACGACTGCTCAGACCAGCAAATCTATTCTTCCGTCTCCACCTGCCCCCAATCCTTCACCTCGATCAGCCGCGGGGTACTCCACGCGGAGCGTCTCCGACGATTTCCTTCAATAATGTTCGTATGTATCTTTGGTTTGATTTTTTTTGTGTGATCCCTCCTGACAATGTATACGCACACTTAGGCGCAGCGGCAGGACCAATCCAATCTCGTCTAACGTCTGCGGCTGCTCGCCATCTTCGAATTTCAACGCCGTCGATGGACTAGGCGACTAGGCATCAAGAACTTGGGATCAATGCGGTGGCGGGAGCTCGAGCCACAAACGTGGTGGAGATTCACGCAACGAGCGTGGGGGAAGCTTGCACCACCAGCAAGACGACCGGGACTCGTACCAGATTAAACTACATAACGCACCTTCACGTCGATCGATCCCTCCACAAAGCGGATGGTGGAGTCTTTCCAACCCCCCTCTCCTCTCCACCCCTCTTCTTACCATCCCCTCGTTCCATCCCCACCTCCTCCCCTCTTCCCACCCCACGGCTACTTTCTGACTCTCTTCTTCACGTCGCTAACGCCTCTTCCCCACAACTTCCCCCAGTTGATGCATATACACTCCCAACGTCACACTTCCGCCATCTGCTGCTCCGATCGGGTCTTGGGACGCGACTCTACGGGTATGTGACGTACAAGTGGGAAGGCATTTGCACAGTCCTTGATTCGAGCATACCCCTCAATCTTCAAGCCCTCAAGAACAAGGTCGTGCCAATTATCAAAACCACGAAACGCTAGCGCTGTTCCAAAGAGCATGTTTTGTGCGAGCTGTGTTTGACTGATGAGCCGGTTCCTCAGCTGGATGAAAGGGTTGGGGTTAGAACTGGAGAGCTTCAGGCTGCGCTGAAGACCATTGCTTCCGGTTAGGGATGGGTATGATGGTTGCAACGGCCACAAACGAGGGTTAGGGCCCTAGGGTTTCGTTTTGCCGGTCCGCGTTCGCGTTCGCCCAAGTTGGTTCGCGAAAGGTCCAGAAGCGGAGACTTGCTGCACAACGACGCCATCCAACAACCAAATCTAAACAACACTCTCTATGCATACTACCCGCCTCACCCGATCCACGGCCACTCCACCTATTAGATGGAAAACAATCACCTTATCATCATCCACATCCGCATCCTCACCCTCACCAGGCACATCTGCAAGCATAAGAAGAACCTCCCGGAGACAAAGCTCTATATGATATTGCTCCCCTGACCGCGCCCCGGACTACTACACCTCAAGCTCGATAAATTTGAACAACGCGGCACGCTCGCCTTCAAGTGCGCGCGAAATGCAGTCTTTACATGTCGGAGCTGGATTGTCCAGGAGAAGTTCGATGGGGAGGAGCCCGGCTTTGAAGGGGAGACATGGGGAGATTCAGAGGATGAGTTTGCCCTTGGAGAAGGAGAGGCCGTCGTTGACGTTGGCTGAAAAGTGAGTTGGTGTTCTTCTTTTCGTTGTTCTGGCTCTTTTCTCTTTCTTTCTTGGTCGTATTTCTGGATGCGGATCAAGGACAAATGTCAACCATTAATCGGCGTTGTACGGGTTGAGCGCTTGTTCACCTGATGGGCCCCTTCCATTTTTTCTCAGACTCTCTTCCACGAACCTACATCCGTTGGACAAGCCTTCGCGATGTTGAGGAGGGATAGGGCCATCTTTACCCTTTCTCGTATGACCCGACAAGCCACTCATGAACTATCAAACGACGGCCATCAAGCCCCAACTCCTGCCTCCCCATAACAAAGATTACGCTGTACATGGCCCGCCTCTAAAGGCGGAGCCGACAACCTCGTATATGTGGTTATCCGACCCATGATTCGGGTTGGTGTCCAGAGGAATGGCCATGGTTCGCTCTACTTGCCTCATCAAGGAGGGGCATTCATGCATTCCCTCCAGTATCCTCTGCCTCTTTCTTCTCCGGAGGTCCTAGGAGCAACTTTTTCGCCCAAGAATCCTGGGCTCTCCTCTCCCTTTACCGCCAAACCCAGCTCTCAAATGAGAGAGTATCGAGGCAGGTTGTTGTTAAGAGAGTTACCAAGGATCGGATCCGTACCCTATGCGTTCACCCTGCCCATGATTCGGTTGGCATTGGCAGAACGCCCCGTTCTTTGACCTGCCTTTGTCTTACCGATACCAAGACTCGATGCAGCATATGCTGCTTCATCACTGCACCCCCTCTCCTCCTCGCGCTCCCCCTTCCTGTATCCGGTCCCCTGTCACACATGCGATTCTCTTATTCTTTGGATTTTGGAGCATGGTGTAGGCCGAGAAACCCCCTTGAAACAAGAGTGTGCCATAGCAGGCCCTCGTCCAAGGAGTTACCAAGGATCAGACCCGAAGGAAAAGACCGAGGACGAGTTGAAGCAGACAGAGAAGAAGTCGTGGCGTTGACTTAGCCTGGTAGATCGGTGAGTCCGACTAGCAAGAAATTGGAGCTGAGTCACCCCTTTGACCTTACTACAGCACGCCCGATTGGAAAACGACGACGTCATGCGGCAGTTGGAAGCTAGACGCAGCACAGCGGCAGGACCAAGTCAATCTCGCCTGACGCCTGCGGTTCTTCGCTATCTTCGAATCTCAACGCCATCAGGGGACTAGGCGAGTAGACATCAGGAACGATTGATCAACAAGGTGGTTTTTGGCTGATTGGAGATGCGTAGGACGATGGGAAGTATGTGATCCCTCCCTCGTGAGCGGATTATGGGCTCCGCGGTCACTCGAGAATCGTACGTGAACTAGTACTCCTCCTTCTGTTTTGGCTTTTGCTAATATACCATATAAGCTATCAATGGGCTATCCTCAACCGTTCCCTGCATAGCATCTTCACCGTGGACAGCGCCATCACTTCTCTTCATTGAAGGCACACCGGACATCTTTTGTAGAAAATATCCACGTCACCAGCTTTCTGTGACATCCTGAGGGCCGACGACAACTATCCCATTGCTGCAAAAAGATAAGGGCAAACGCTATTCAGTTGTATGCTCAATCCTCAAACGGAGGACCTACTCCTTTCAGCTGAATCCCCTTTCTTGCAGCCACAGTCCCTCCCAACCGTCAAAGCTCTAGGCTTTCTCCTTGCTCCTTTGTTCGGTGCCTCTCCTTGCGCCTCTGTGGAGTACTCAACCATACACAGCTCGCATATCCGCTCCCCTTTGCGCAAGTTGAGTTCCATCGATTTGAGGCGGAACAAACCCAGAATTGTCGGGCCAATTGCCGCCTCCAGTTTGAAGACGATGATGAAATGGCATTGAAAGACCTATGAGCTGCTGATGCTGCTGCACATTGTAGGAGGCGATTGGGGGTTTTACGGATTTATGAACCTCTTCGCTGGAGCTTTTATCCCCTGACATCAGTTCTTGTCGAATTTTGATACCTGTATAAGCAAATGTAGAACATTCAGTGATAAACGAAGTCTTATTCAAGCGGGGGTTGGGGCGGAGTGGCCCATGATCGCGTCACCGCACCGCGTTCCACCGACTCCACGGCGCATCGCCTTTTATCCTGATTCGTGACATAAATATCTTTGATGGAAACTTGACCCATTTATCGCACCTAAAATACAAGTAAGATTTTGCCTTTGACTAATTATCCAAACACTTATAGAGGCCCTAACGTCTGATATTCTTCTATTCAAATAAAAACATAACCTCTCCATTGTCCAATATCCTATACAAATAAGATACATGATGTTTCCATGATGTCTAAGTATTATCCATGCACAACAAAATCAGCCCGGCAAAAGATCTGGAAAAGGGAAAGAATTTAATGGGAAGGATTACCAAACCAGATAGGTGGTCATCACAACAATGATTCCGACTAATGTCAATCGCCATCCCTGCACCTCAAATCCTCGTCTAGCGGTGTTACCAGGAAAGAATAACGGACTAGGAACTAGGACAGTTCCAGCTGGGGACGTAGTTTTAATGGTCGACGTCACCGCCTGTGAAAGCAAGGCGTGGGCAGCAGCAGTGGGTGTTGGAGCAATGCCGCCCGTGGTGTACGCCCGTACGTATTTTATTTCAAAGTAAGCATTCGAGTACCGACCCCCAGGGCCAACAACGTTATCGTTGTACTGTGAACAACCATTTAGAATTGATTATTTTTTCGCAAGGGATAGGCTCACGCAGATACCTGTTGGGCCTGCCCCGCTGCATTGTGGTAAGTATTGTGCAGGAAGCCCAGCCCTAATGGCGGTGATAAGTCAGGGGGGAAAGGGAAGTCAACAATATGTTTCTAACGCACCATATCCCGCAAAGTGTGATGTCAATTACCAAATTTTGGGGTGTAAAGAACTGAGTAATATTGCACGGTTCCGACGCCGGATAACTTGCTGACGGCGCACCCCAATCGGATACATTGATGCTTGATGTTGCATTAGCATTTGCGATAGACGCGGGAATGGAGGGGCGCTGATGTGACTTTGAATTCAAAGAAACGATCAAAGTAAGACGACTTACACTCCAGAACCAGATGCTATCTCGTAACAACTTCGTATCAGGACCTAGGAGATCATGGAGTAGAATATATTAACTCACAAAACGCTGTTACAATCAGCAAGGATTAGTATTGAATGATGCTCCAAGACGTACCCAGCGACATCAAATTGAACCCCAAAAACGCCTCCGCCCGCATTTGCAAATCCCTGGCCAAAACTATTCGGTGCCGACTCCGATACGACACAGCCAGATGGCTGGGAGCAGTCCACCTTCGTTGGATCTGATATACCCATCTGGTTTGGAGGCGTGGTGTTGTGGTAACATCCTGGAAGGGTGTGCAAAGCCATTTGGTTCTGGCTCACTAAATTGATACCCTCGATTATGCTGTCGATGTCGTAAGTCGAATATAACAAGAAAACCTTATTGAAGGCGTACTCAATTTCACCGCCATCCGGCCATAGTAATGTTCCTTTGGTCCAAAAGGCAGGCCACACCTGACAAATGAATTCGGATCTAAAATATGCGGATTAAATACTCACTGAACAACCGAATGGAAGATGTACGATATCTGCGATCCATAAACTCCCGACATTATACGCAGCTTGGCTTGTAATGCGAACCTATATAATTTAAAGAATTACCAAAAAAAACGAATCGGATAGGGCATACCGTGTTCCGCTTTTGATTTAGTGCCACATTGCTCACGTCGTCGACTTTCAAAATAGCGTTACCAGCGTTGTTTACATAAACGAGCCCTTGTGCAAAAGCATCTTGCCTTCCCAACCACCATACGTCGCCTAAACCGGAAAGAAAGTTCAGCCAACAGCATCATCAGAACTTGACTGACATGTACTCACCGAGCGTCAGATTATCCCAATTACCGTAAAAGTCCCACTTATCGAAGAAAGAGGATCCTGAATAGTCCTGGACGATGTCGTAAGCCCAGCATGCAGGTAAGAGGGTGAACAGTAGAAGCGGCCACTGCCTGTACATCTTCATGGTGAATTGGTGACCAAGGAACCCTCAGCGGAACGACCCCCCACTATAAATACAACCTGCATGGGTGAAGCGAGGCTACACAGCAACGCGATCAATTCCTACCATTTCGCTGTTGTGGAACGTGACGGAGACGACGTCATCGCGAAGCCGAACTCCATTGGTTGTGTGTAAAACGGCCACAAGTAGATCATCCAAAAGATAAGAAACCTATCAGTATGCCGTACCACCAGGAGATATTTCGCGAAGTATAGGTTGACTCCGAGCCCAATCCAGAGCCCAGGCGTTTGTGGTTTCCCACTAAGTTGGGCTGCATTTGGCCGACCACGAGGCAGAGATTCCATTCCAATATCCCCATTAGCAACACATGGCGGTCCGGCCTGTCACTTCCGTGTACCTTGTACCTGGTTTCGCAAAACATACAGTCAAAACTTCGCTGGACCGGCGCAATCGAGGTGCAATGCGCTTGTGGCCACCAACTAAATCTGACCGCGAGTCAGGAAATGAACTCGAAGGGGAGAGGGCGTTAAACGGTCGGATTCACCGCAGCAGGCTGCGCAACAAATAGAACAGGTTCTAAAACACGCGGCGTTTCGAGGGTGCAGAATGGAAATAACAACCATAGAAACGTCACTCACTTTTGTCCCAAATTAGAACATTACGAAGGCTTGAGCGCCGACAGATTGCAGCGTGCCTGCCTCGTTCACCATGTATCGGTCATTGCAACCGCCCAAGAACAATGCGAACTTCACTTCTCAAAATTTGCAAGGTGATAGTTGTGCGGCGAAGTTGAGTGAACCCAGTGCTAGGCTGTGCTAGGTAAAGTTAAATGTAGGATTCGCAGGTTGTTGCAAGTCACGTATACTTGAAGGCGCTATGATGTGAGGATGGCGAAAAAAGGTGTAAGATTCAAGGGGCGTTCATGGCTGAACAAAAACCTGTTGGGGCACCAGATATCTTGGCGAGTCCTCTCAAATCTCCACAAAATGTCGGCCAAGAAAGCGTCCTCTTGGAGCCGACGTTCAACGTTCAAGGGTGGTGAGTCCACATTTCCGCGGTTTGGTCTTCTGTCAACCTATCGAGTTCTCTTGTTTCGAAACGTCAGAGAGGACCGCGTAGTATCCATGCCCATTTTGTAGGATAGATGGCGTGACGAAGTCGCCAACAGAAGTTCACCAATGCCACTTGATACCATCGAAGAAGTTCACTGTTGTTGATATAAGACTTGGGGCTGCGGGTATTCGGAACAGTTGGAGCGGCTTGTCGTTGTCCGTCGTGCCCCTTCGGTTAGTCTGTAGTAGATTACAGTCAAATAGAGAAATATGAGCCCATTTTGAATATCATGAAAGCACCAAGACACTAACTTAAAGCAAAGGGTTACTTTAATTGCCGTCATGATATTTAGGCTTGATCTGGTGAATTTGGAATGGAACTGATCTCGTGATTCAACGTTGAGCATCCTAGAATCGTAAACCTCTTCAAACCATCTTTCACAACTGTGCGGTTACCAATAGCAAATGTTTTTCCTCCGCCATCACTGATTTTGAAGGTTGCGAACAAGGGCCTACGCTATTTCCAGGGGAGAAAGGGAGAATAAATTCACCATCAGGTAACGTTGTAATAAATCGACAGGACACACACCAGGATGCCTTGCACAGCCGATAGAAATGGGTGCATTTCTTTGTGCCATCGGAGGTTCTGGCGACTCCTGAGGAGATAGGTCATCCGACATGCATGCACAAGTTCTTCCTTTTTATTGGAATTTTGCGGGTTCAAGCGTCAGGCTTCGAGAACAATCGGAGTAAGTTTTCTAGTATTCCTCATAGTGTTCAAACGTTGTAAGTGGAGGAACGGCAAGAGGATGGTCGAGACAAAGAGCGTTAGTAATACTGATTACAAAGACAGTGGAGAGTAAACTGAGTTCGAATTGAAATTCAACTGATCAGCAATGTTCGCCAGCCTTCAGCTTCATCAGCCAATCACCAACGTTCACAAAATTCAGCTTCGCACCCACCAGTGCGATGAAATCATCATATTCGACGTTCGGTACTTCGTTGGCCAGGCGGAACTTCTCGGCGAGTCTTAACTGGGCTTCAAAGCCACTCTCTACTGTCCATCGGGGGACGGCATTCGAGGAAAGGTCACTGAAACTTCTGCGGGATAATATGTCTATGTCGCTGAGACGAGTTGGCGGAAAAGAAGATGGCGGTATCGACCTACTTGGGTGGTGGTGGTTACCTGACCCATCCGGCTCTGCGAACTCCCCACGACGGCGAATACGTGTACTTGGTCAATGCAAAGCGGAAAAGAAGAAGACAAGCCCGAAGTATGTCAGAGAACTGGAAGGGGTGCTTCACCGCTTTCTACCCTCAATCCAGCATCATTGGGTAAACCCTATCACGGCTCCTTCAACCCTCGATCCGGTGGTAGCTCTGCTGGTTTCCGAATCTCCATTCACCAAATCGACTCTCCTACGCGCTATGTCCTCGCCGATACCGTTCTTTCTCCTACACGTTCCACCATTGCAAGAATCTGCTTCTGAGATTGAAGCCGAACAGATCCAGAATATTGGCATGGCCGTGTGGAATTCAGCATTAGGGGGAACTCATGGAGTACTTGAAGGGGAAATGGAGGTGCGATGGGAAAGAGAATTGAATAATGGGGCTGGTAGACCAGGATTGTGGTGGCAAAGGGAAAGGTTATCAAGTTGGACGCCTGACGCCACGTCTTCTGCAATGACGGACCTTGACGAAGAGTTTGAATTGAAGGCGACTCCTTAGAACGGTTATACATTACATGGTATCCTAAATCTACAAGACTACAAGGGTAACGTTACAACAAATATATAGTAAGACTAGTTGGTGAGCATGTGGTATCAGGCTATAAGGTTCGTTTTGGTGAGATTGTCCCTCATAAGCATATCCTTAACTGTGTTTGACCGTCAGTGACCTGTATTGGCGAATGAGGCAGCAACTGACGATTGGATAAGATGTATTTCGTAGATTTCGTATCCTATAATGCTGTGAGATGACGTTCAGGTGAAAGGTTGATGCACATACGGTTACCGTCGTGAAATGGCAATAAAAGACGCGGGGAAGGGGCGATTTCTCCTTCAGAATACCAGCTGAAATTTGTTGTGAGCGCAGAACCAGCTAGAAGTCTCGGTGAACCACACACAGAATTTTCTTCTCAGATCTGTCGTATTCATGATCAGCAGGGTCAGTTACATGTGAGGGAGGATGAAGCCAAAATGACGCAACAGGTCGATGCATGTTCGTAGTCATTAGGACGGTCTCCGTAAGACACCACATAATCGGCTATTTTGATCCCAGAAGCCAGTTTCGACTGCAGTATGTCAATCTTGTTCAAAAATAGGACTAGGTTGGTGTTCTTCAAAAGGGGGTGCGAGACGATTGACGTCCACAGTTTGACTGAGTCTTCCTAAGTAGAGAACGAGTCAGGGGAGCAGAAGAAAGATAGTTAAAAAAAATAGGTGAGGCACCAGTCTATTGACTTTGTGGTCCTCCGCAAGTACTTGATCGAAGCAACTGAAGTATCATCAGCGAATTGCCGTTATGTTGCTATTTTGGAACGATCGCCCTCACCTGATTGGGGCAAGAAAGATGATAGCATCCATGTCATCGAAGTACGGGACCCATGCAGCTATCAATAGTGGAGATTATTTCCGCCTATCAGAAGACCTGGAAGGGGAGAAAGGTAGGTGAATTTTTACCTCGCTAACGATTCATCAATTCAATTAGACAAAATGCTGTAGGAGGAAAAAGAGTACCTGTGATCTATGTCCTCCAACGTCAAAAACGCGCCAATCCCTGCTGATGTTATTCTCTGAGAGTGTGTTGAGTAAATCATAATCCCAGGATAATTGTGACTCACTCCCGGAAAGAATAAAGCGATGCTCAGTGACGCCTAACGTTTTCAAGCGCGCTTTCAGGATGTCATCTGGGGATCCCAGGCATGAGGAGGAAATAGGCAATAGGAAGGGGCGTACCGTCAGTGGGTATGTATTGGGGAGCCGTAACTCGTTCCAGAACATCCAAAAAGCTATAGTCACGTCATCGTTCAAGCCATCTGGAAGCGACAAAACAGCGTACAATCCGGCGAGCTCCCGGACTCGAAGTTTTTGTGCCTCCAAGAACTTCTTCGTCATTGGGTCTTCCCATAGTCGTATCATATCTTCGGAACAAGCGTGTAGGATGCGACCGGGGTCATCAGCATCCTCCCAATTCATAGCCTTGTCTGCATCGAAGCTACTGCGCCCTACGTCCCTGCGTCCAAACGACCCTTTCCATTGCACAGCGGAGTTGATAGTGACCTCCTTCATGTAGTTTTTCGTGCGTTCGGAGTACGACATATCTCTCCCGATTCGTAAGGTTGCCTCCGTTTCACTAGATCCAGCCGGCGTGAGACGGCGAATGAGGGTCTCTTCGACTTGAAGGAGGGGGGCTAAACGTAATTTGAGCTTCAAAAGCTCGGGGGAAGCTATCAGGTCTACTACAAAATCCTGGGATCCAGATGAGGTTTTCTCTGCCTTTGAGATAGCGTCGAAAATCAAGTGGATTGAGCGAACGACGTTGAGTTGGATTACTGCCCGCCACGACGCTCTTTCCGTGCGAAAGGCCTGTCGTGAATGGTCAGCAAATGAACATCTGAATGTGTTGAGGGAACGTGCCTTTGGTTCGTAAAGCAGCTGAAAATCTGTCCTCGCACGACGTCAGCGGGCGGATAAACCGTTGTCAGGGCGAAGCCTACTTTTCAAAGTGGTCGATTTGCCTCAAGGGCGCGAATTAGATCCCATGTGGAAGAACGGCATGATAACAGCCCACCTGATTCGCTTTGACCTGTGATTCCAATGAGTTGCGCTCGTCGTTCGAGGTGAAGGGGAGACTCACCAAGCAGAAGAATCTTGACCGGCTTCTGCCCATTCCTCTCGGATGCGCGTTGTGATTCCAACTCCTTGTCAATTGAATCGGAGACGGCCTTCGCGGCTTGCTCTGAACGCAATCGGCGCTGTCGTTCTTTAGGTGTTTCATCTGGCGGCGGCTTGATGGCATTGGTGAGAGGGTCGTCTTCAAAATTAGGCAGCGTTCTAGCTGGCATGTTGCTGGTGTTCGGGAAGTGGAAGGGGAAGCGAAGTGAGGTAGACCTCAGGCTGCCGGTTTTGAGTGTCCTGCACTGAATTTCAATTGAATTGTTCCTCTGGAATCCATCAATTTCACATCAACAATCCAGGTTTAGAAGAACCCTGACTGACGTGCAGAAAAGGCAACAACTGGCAACAATCTGGTAACAAATGTGGCAGGCCGCAGGTGCACGAGCCTGAAGCTGAAACCGCCATGCAGGTCAAATGCAGGTCCTCTTTGCACCGAAAACCTAAAAGCCGATCAGATATTTTTTGAGTGGTCATACTCGTGCTTGTGATTGTTTTTTCATACAGCAGTCGGTGGTCGCGGACTCACTAGCCTTGATATTTTGATACCCCATTTATCGTCACAGACTCGAAGAGGACGATTCTGAACGTTGACGTCGTTTAATTCGATGGAGTTAACCGGAGTGCGCCGGCGGGAAGGGCAAATTTGCAGGTTTGAGCGCTTGCCTCTATCTAAGTCTTTTACATCCCTCCATTCCCTTCCCGAATACATTTTCAGTCCTTATCGGCGCAATATCAAGCCGGAATGAGGGGCGACAATTGAATATCAGCGAGCCTATATACGCAAGGTAAGCACACTTGGACCATCGTGATAAATGAATTGTCAATGACAATGTTTACGGGAGAGGGTTGAAAATTACGTCACTCTGTTTATTATCTTATCCAATCACGCCGCCGGGTAACGCCGTCTGTTCCTAGGTGCCAGAAAAGGAACATTTTCGCGAGAATTTCGGCAAAACAAAACGGAGACGAGTGAAGAAAACAGTATGCCAGGCATGCTTGTTTACTTTACACCTCACACGCGTGCAGATCAATTCATAGCCATGCATTTATGCTGATTAATAATATGTAGTGAAGCACTCTTGGATCAAGGTCGCGTCATCTCTTTGATAGTACGTATACAGAAATGAGTGTACCGTTCAAAGTGCCAGGAAAATAAGTGGTAGAATATATAAATTCAGGGTGCTGTGTTATAAAAGGGGAGATAAGAGGGTAGTGGTGTTTCCTGCCGGAGAATACACAGGATGCTGGAGGCGAGGTGAGTACAATAGAAGCTCGAAGGTTTGGCAATTTAGCGAAATAAGCGACGAGTCTGAGATAATATACTCAATGAACGATATTGAAAATAGCCTGTAAGATATATGACTAGATATGTGGACAGTGAACGGATAGAATGAAATAATCAACAAACATCAGATTGAATGAGTGGGTCATGGAAGAGGAAGGAGGATGAAAGGGGAAACTGCGATGAAACATGGGCGAACAAAACTTGACGGAGGGTCGGAAAAATATGCGAAAGGCACAGAAATCAAGAAATCCAGGGTTCAAAGGAAGGCAGGGCAATAGCTAGGAGAATCGTCGGAAAGGTTAAAGTTGCAGAAATATTTAAAGGTCGCGTCGAATGGAACGCGTGTTGAGTGGTGTACCAAGATCGCAAATCACGTGGGTACAGCAATCAAATGTTGGGTGCTGCATGTGCATATGACAAGGTAGCTGTTGGGTACAGTCGAAACCCTCGTAACCCATGCATCAGATAACCCATAACCCCTGAAATCCCATGCCATTTTGGATCCACCAAGTTGGTGGGCGGGGATTTGCATACCATAACCCATAAGTCCGTGATAATCCATAACCCATAGCCCTTCGTGGGCAAAACCCATAGGTTTTTGGACCCTAAGTTAGGGTCATACCTACCAAAAATGGTCATAGAACCCCGCATTTTTCACTGCTTTTTCATGACACTCAATAAAATTTTTATCTACATTAATAAAATCCACCACAACACCAAATTTATTGACCTGCTGATCACCAAATTCTCTGAAATCAACTTGCAATGCCCCTCCTCCCCAGATCAAGCTTCACTCGATCACAAAGTCAACACTGTTGAATAGAAATACATCAATGATGACTTGCCCCAATGGTGCTGATTGTTTTACTTCCAGTCCAGCAAACAAAGAAAATTAGATTTTCTCGAGATTTCCATGATTTTTTGAGCGCTTATTTTTTTCCCACCCCCTCCAACCCATAACCTCTGAAAACCCATAGGCTGGACTGTCCACGGAAGGGTATGGGTTACGAGGGTTTCGACTGTAGCTGCTGATAATTTATCTTTCATTTGCGTCAGAGCTACCTGATATCCAGTTTTGCGACCAACTGAATGCACTCCCTTTCAGTGTTTCCTTTGTCCTACCCATCTGTAAATTGTGGAATTACATGATCTATCGCAACAAGTGACAACCTCTTTGCGCCCTCATTGGCCCGAGAATATTATTAAGGAAATTTACCAATTACCACTTTCCGTCATTGATGTAAAGCTTTTAACAGAGAACCTTATTGCGATTTGAGCGCCTACAGAAGTCGTATAGAAGCTGGTATTGGGACTTGGCGCACAAGGATACTGCCCCTCATAAGCGCCAATATTTAATTGGATGCCGCCGTCAAGAAGCGAATAACCTCGTAAGTCGAAGGGGGTTTTCTTATGGATATACGATCTGAAGAGACAGATAGCCTGATAGGTGGACTTTTTGTGATTGGATTTGGGAGAGAGGATGAGGACAACTGCGAAGTTGGAAATGATCATACCATTATATTCCACGTACCCAGACCCTGTGTAATTGTGTACTCCGAGTAGACAATGCATGAACCTAGGAAACGAGCAAGATCATACGCCACGGCCTGCCTTGAATGATCGCAATAACGTTGATATGAAGATCGTTGATGGACTGATTGACACCGAGATAAGTTTCGATCACCCATGATCCCATTCCTTTGCCCGCTGGGGATGCGCCGACCGCCTCGGTAAACATGGTTAGCGCCGACGTCTCCGGGAATGGGCAGCGATGAGCGTCAACGCCGTCTGTCAGGCAGGCATGCCGTGATTGATAGGCATGAGCGGCCTCAAACAGCCAGAGAAGGCCTGAGTTGGTACTATGCTTTTCGCAAAATATCCATCATTGTGCAGGTGAGCAACGAGATTGAATTCTGGTAGATTGTCACATACAGCCTCAAGTCTCCAAACTCTCTTTGGCAGATTTGCACGTAACTAGGCCGCCTCGACAGAGACGCTGCGTCGTGACAACTATTTGATGGGAGCGGCAAGCACCTTCCCCACATCCTTAATTCCGTGACTGGCGGAATATAAAATAGGAGTGTTTCGAAGCCCCACTTGTGCGGAAGCATTCACGCTGACATCGGCTAGAGCCAATCCACGGAAAGCCTGAGAGCGACTAGGGGGTGCTCCAAAGTGCTCCAAGAACACGCGCATGCCAGTGCGGATCAGAGCCTTTTAGAGCAATGGGAAGTCTGGACGCAGTGGGGTGTCGCATTGCAGTATCATAGCACAAATTGGAAAAGCCATGCCCCCATGGTCTCAGAGGATTTGGAGAGGGCGGTACCACTGCGATACCAGGGTGATATGTAGGCCGATTCTACGGACGTCACGGTAACAGCGGAGCAGGGATGTGGTCTTGTTTGCCATGGTCACAAATGATGCGAATTGTCTTCATCTGTTTCCGACAAGGTCGAATCGATGACTTCGGAGTAAGGCAACTTGTCTCGTGCCTTGGGTACTTAAGCACCCTCAGAGTTCTCTCGTTTACCCAACCCAACCATGTCTTCCCCCGTCTCTTGGCACACACTCCCCACCGAAATTCAACTGGCAGTCATTGACGGCCTGCGTCAACCAGACGTTCTAGCTCTATCCAAGGTTGACCAACGAACCTACAGAGCTTGTGTACCAGCAATCTTCAAAGTAACGCTCCTGAATACCCTCTACCCCCTCTAAACTGATGTCCACATGGTAGAGCGTTAAAATTCCCAACTTCGAAGCCTTGCAACGCTTCCTGTGTAACGTGCCTCGTGGCTACTTGAGCCACATTCAAGAGCTTTTCATTTCTACACAAGATGCCGTCTCAAAGCCGATATCACTACGCGTCCGAACGGATTTTGTCATCTCATTGCTTTCGGCTACACCTCGTTTGGTTAAGCTGTCACTCCAAATGGCAGGATCATTGGACAAAAGCGTGATCACACCCTTCCCCTACCTCACCGCTTTGAAACATCTTCACATTGCAAACTGCGCCGAGGAAGAAAAAACCCCATTGTGAGTGGTTGTATATACCTGATTGGCCAGGGGTTGAAGCGTGCACAGGAGTGAGAGGCTGGTCGTTTCAATCGCTGCTTCTCTTAGGAACCTAGAAGACCTTTCACTCGATCGCATCTCTCGTTCAAAAATCCACGCTCCAGATTTAGATGGCGTCTTTCCTTATATTCCGCTCGTTATCGGGGACGAGGACATCCCGACTCACTCCCTCCTTGGACCGGATCTTTCCCTACCGTCCCTTCTTCGTATCCCAAGCTTGCGTAAACTCACCATTCGCGACACTCACCTCGGCGATGAACGGTGGGCAACGACCTCGGTTGCATGTCGGCTCGAGGTCCTGGACCTCGGAAGCTGCCAGCACGCGAACGACGCGTTCACCGAACGGATCATGGCTGCCGTAGGCCCATCGGTTGATGAATTCACCCTCACCACCGCGGTATCGGATAATCTCTTTGCCAAACCCTCTGTGACGCCCCTGCAACGCCTACGTAAACTCCATATTACGCCCTATTTCCCCATCGAGAGTGTTGTTGACACTATGTCCAACCTCGCTGGGTCTCCTATTGAAACGTTGTCGATGCAGTGCTACGAGGACGATGTTGTTGACGCTTGTGCCGCCTTGGAGGACTTTTTATCCCTCAAGATTGAGCGGGGCCCTCGATTCTACGACAAACTCAAAAACATCAATGTGTCTGTCACTTCGAGCCTTGATGGTTCATTGGTTACCCCTGAGGAGGCCCATGAGCGACTGGCAGCAACTCGCCGCCTACAGGCCTTCTGCTGGGACCTCTGTTTGGCGAGTATTGTGGAGAAGTATGCGGCTTCCAATGGGGGCGAGCACACGTCCGTCACCTCTTTCACCGACGCTCGGCGAGTCAAGGGCCGTTCCAACACCATTTAATAAGTTATCAATCATTTTATTGACATTGCATTGTACTTGTACATATACCTTCATTTCAGCATCTTTTTGTACTTGTACATACTTTACCTTCCTTGGCTTTTTACTGGTTTACTAGGGGAATATCATTGGGGATTCAGAATTACAACACAAAGCTAAGCAGCTGAAAAACACACCATTCCGCCCTATGAAGATCCTAACAATCCTTGGCGTTGGGAATGTTACCAGTCCCGCCGGGAACGGATCCATGGCCTCTGTCAGATTCGCGAACACCGGTGCAGAGTACTGTGAATCACAGATTGCACAAATTTTGATTGCGAGGTAACGCTTGCCTGGCTATAAAATGGCTAACGAGTACTCGACAGCCTGAGCTCGCCTCACAGCTACTCTTGTTCAGCATATCGGATTTAAAATTACCAGGTGCTTGTCGGAGAATCGATGGATCCATTGAAATCCAGAATTTGCAATCGGCTATGCAGCGCAGTAGATCTTGGGGAAACCTCCGCTCCATGAATGCTATACTCTTAGCTACAGGCCTTGGGGCGGCTACTATCCAGTGAGCAATCGGGCCCTCCGATCTCTCATTTCCACTTCCAGCCTCAGGCGAGCTCCAATTTCCGACTCCCGAAGCAAACAGGAACAAATGGCGAGAAAAAGCTGTGCTCCAACTTCACTCAACAGTACTATCGCCGTCTTTGACCGTTCTTTCTGTCGCTCTTGGGTACGCCCACCAGCAATTCTTTCTCGTTCATGAACGCCAAAATCATTGGCGCGGGCAGGAAAACGTGACTGACACTGGTCCCGATGCCAACGGAACGCTGAAGGGTGATCCTCTAATATCGCTTTCCCTGTCCTCAAAATACTTCACCAATGAACAAGTTCAACATCTTATATGAATAGCCCGTGTCTTTCGTATGACAAGACTGATGGGCGCAGTCGCGGTTCCAAAGGATGACGTAGATTGGGTTTCTTGTGCTGCTCTTCGGATCCGGTATTGTCATGGTACGGGCTTCTGTCGTTCTAAGGATTTACAACCTATCGCTAATCCTCTCAGGCATCGTGTATGATGTTGATACCAACGCTTCGGGTGTGATGGTTAGCAATGTCAATACTGTGTGAGTGCTAGGCCCTGCCATGAAACAATCTTGACTTTCCACTTAATCTCTTTTCATAGATTCGCGTTTTGCTGAGCAGCACTTTGCGCAGTACGTGTGGATTCCTGTCGTACTCTTTTTTCTTTGAGTCCCATTCGATGTCGACTCCTCTTATATGGGAGAGACCGCTGCTGCGACGTGAGTGACGCCCCTCTGCTCAGTGATTCTTCTCTCTACCCCCAACATATGATGTGAACTTCACACCTTGGAGAGACGACCTTCAGGTCGTCTCGTTGAAAGCCCGACTTGCAGTCCATTCTGGTAGACTACCTATCTGGAGAGGAACCGCTTGGGCTCAAGTCAAGAACGGAAAGCTGACAGAATTCTTATGAAACTCCGCGTTGATAAACCAAGTGAACTAACACCATTGCACTTATAGGAACCTTGATTGGCGCATCGTGTGGTCCCCAGTTTCCGTTCCATACAGAGACTTTCCCTCGGTATCGCTGGAATCAACTACTTTGTGTGAAATTCAGTGCTTAAATTATAAATTGACATGAAGGGAGACGACATGAGCCAATTTTCTGATCTGTTCAGCCGTCATGCACGTCAACGCGGTAAGGTCCTAAGGATAAAGGAGTAAAGCATGGCATGTGACACACATCAACGGAAAATTCCAAAGTCGCCTTTTCAACACGTCCAAACTTCAACCATTCAAATTCTGTCATGTTCGACGTTAGCCCCAGCCACTAGCTCCCTTGCAGCATGTCCTTCTATCAAGCTGCATCTCAGGAATCTGAATCTGGGCTTCAGCCTACTGTCGATGGTGACCGGCAGCGGAAAGTCGACGTCCATCATGGTTAGTCGCGTCGGCATAAGTGAATCGATAATTATGACATCTGAAATATATCTTATCAGATGACGAGGAAAACGGCGAGGTCCGCACTGGCGCTGGTTGCCCGTTCTCAGATCTTTCCAGCATACTCATTCCCAAACAGACAGACTATGGGGAGGATATCTCCGAACTGATTCTTCAACTTAGAGATGATGACCCACAACCGCTCTCTGAGGTATTTTGGTTGTGTTTGCTTGTATCTCGTTGAACCCTGGCGTTGACGATTGCCACCCCAGGCAGAAACAGATTATGGGGACGATCTATCAGCTATTCAAAATTACGAAGACCTTCGCGAGTGTCATCCAACATCAGCGGCCCCCGTAACCCAATTACCACTGGTCCCAGCTAATTCCACTCAGTCGGACGCGAACGAGAGTTCTCAGAGCTCGATTCGCTTAGGGAAGAGAAAGGCCAGCGACATCTCGGACGCTGGCTCCACCCAATCTACCAAACCCACGAAAAGCTATCGCTCGGATCCGGATATATTTGATCCCGAAAAACCATACATAATCGTAAAACCTGCTGTTCTTTCACCGGCTTCAATAAATGACTATTTGCTAGGCTCACGACCCGGCTGTCGAAGAGATGATGAACCAAAAAGGGATCAAATTGGGGGTTGCATATGAAATCGCCAGGCTGATTTCAAGGGATTACATCACAAACGACAATATTACTTCGGCTGAACTTGACGTCCTTCAAGGAAAAAATAGTGAGGCTGCGCCTAAAGTCTTGAATGCTCTGAAAGGTCCCAGCTCGGCCGAAGCGAAGACCTTGGAATCACACCCTGCCTTTTTACGAGAAAAGGCTGCCAAGGTACAGTAATTATCTTTTCATCGACATCAATTAGCGTGATACCCAGACATGTCTCAGGTGCCGTGGAGTGAGTTGGACGTCGAAGAAGAAGTACTGGCCAAGGACCAATTTGGTGGTCTCGGCAATAACCCTGAATATCCCGGCTGGTACGGGGGAAAGATAGAATTCCGAGCTAAGCTGGAGAAACTCGGCACAAAGCAATACAAGATTGTTCTAGAGGACTGCATCCTCGGCGCGTCGTGCCGGTTCACTCGACGTTTCGGCTCCTGGTCTTTTCTTCGCATCAAAGTTCCATTGGATATCTTCCATGAGAGCGACAACGGCCTTGGTCTATTCTTCAAGAGACCTTTTGTGCTTTGGGGTCGCGTTTTCAAAACTTTCTATGCAAAGGATCAAACGGTCTTCTTGTTTAAGACGAACGAAGCTTGTCCGGGCCTAGACTCAAGAGGGTCGAACCTTCCGGGGCTGTCACTGCAAGAATTTCTCATGTGGCATAACCCGCTCCAAGAAAACAGCCAACAGGTAAAGCGATACCGATCCCAACGACTGCGTACTTCTACTCATATATTCTGTTTCAGTCAATGACAAAATGGGCAGCACGCACTGTGCTTGGACTTTCAAATTCCGTGCCGGGTCCGCGAATTCCTCAAGAGAACATCGGATTTGAGGATGATGTTGGTAAACTATTTCGTTGGTTTGTTTCAAAGCGCCCCGTTTGAAAATTTGTTCTAGTCTCGCTGAAAGGTTCCGATATGACCGACGGCTGTGGTTACAGCAACAAGCCCGTTCACTTGTTTTTACTTCATCAACTCAACTTGGACCTGCTCCCAAGCGCTTTTCAATTTCGCTTTGCAGGTTGCAAGGTATTTAACTTCGTGTTCAAATATCTTGATATATGTGAAATATTTAAATGTATAGGGGATGTCGCTCATACGAGAAGACGAGCAGCCGATGGACAACGAGCGCCGGATATGGTTTCGGCCTTCGCAGACCAAAATCAAGTACCCAGCGGGCCAGCCTCTCGACCCCGCAATGTTGACCATTGACCTCCTTCGAACGTCTCGTTTGAGAACGCCAGCTCGACTATCGCCCGAAACGATTATCAATCTCCATGAAAACGGAGTTCCCGAGGACGTCTTTTTTGATCTGATGAAGGAAAGCATTCAGGAAATGGTAACAAGTCTTACGACATGGGAGGGACCGAACGCAATGTTTCACCTGTGGGCCAATGTCGAACGTGCAGGAGGCGTCTTTGCTGGGCGTCGGGCGCGGGAAGCAGTTGGAGAGGCGCGTGCGCGCGGATATAGCAACCGATCCCCCGATGAAGAAGAGGATGAGCAGGCGGACGAGGACGAGCTTGATAGCGGAAAAAACTATCGCTCTACTCCTTGGTGGGGTGATCAGATATCGGGATGCCCATCAACTCTTGAAGAAACCATAATGGTTCTACTGGACTCTGGATTCACACCTCAAACCAGCCCCATCCTCCGAGAGAAGTTGAAGCAATGTATCACGAAGAAAGTTGAAAACCGGTCTTCAAACATACGTTTCGAAGTCAAACAAAGTGCAAGTGCTTTCGTCGTCCCAGGTTAGTTTCCTTTTTGCGCCCTAGTTGATATGTGTCTGATGTATCCACAGATCCGTATGGGGTGCTTGGTCCTGATGAAATACAGATCAAGAGTTCCCATAGAAATCTCATAGGAATTGATGGCCTGGAGACTGACATAATTCTTGGTGATGTTTTGGTGATCTCCATTGTTTCCCACTATAGTCCCGATGTGTTGCTCATCGTGATGCTCTTATCAGATTACGAGGAACCCTTGCAAGGTTCCTACTGATGTTCGCAAGGTAGTTTTTTGTTTGACTTCAGTGCGATCCTCCTTGATGCATTCCGTCTTTCTATCAGGTCAAGGCGGTCGAACACCCCCTTCTGCGGAACTTTCTGGACGTCATTGTTTGCTCAATACAAGGTCTCCGGCGATTGCTGGATTTTCTCGCGGGAGGTGCGGTATTTGTTGCTTAGTTGCGACTCCAGCTAATGTGTTTCAAGGTGACTATGATGGTGATAAAGCTCTGGTCATTTGGTTCGTACTTATCGTCTCCAGCTTCGAGATCCCAGACGAGAAGCATTCCTACGAGCCAAAAAATATTCACCAGGCTTTCACCCAAGAGAAAGAAACAGGATCTGAGTTTCTTCAACGAACGAGGTCAATGACACCTTCTTCAGTGATGCTGGAGATGCAAAATTACTTGCTTGGTGCCCTCCGCGACACATCTCTTGTCGGCCAATACTCAACGATGCACGACAATGCCATATACCAATTAGGATACGCTCACCCACGTACCGTTAAACTAGCCTACAAGTAAGTATTTCTGTCATTTGTTCTTCGTCAACCTTACATACTTTTGGATGTTTTCTATCAGATTTTGCAAGGTTCTTGATAGCCCCAAAACTGGCTGGAAAATCAAGCCAGAGACGATCAAAGGAGACAAGAGGGAGTATTATCATCCTCGAGGCCCCCAGTGGAAAGCAGCCGACAAAAAAAAGAAAAAGAGAGGCTCAAAAATTGATACTACCAATTTACCTTATCTTCAACGCCGGCAAGATTCACCATACGTCCACGGAGAGTTCATCATGGACATTCTTCGCATCATGGCGAAGAAGGAAACTGACGGTTTGCTGGCGGATGTCGAAGCGTTATTCTCGAAGTTCAAGGTTGAAGATGACGACAATATTGCTGCGCCTTGGAACAATGCGGTCGCGTGGGCGGAACGGGGAGATGATCTGAGGATAATCAGAAGCAAGCGCAAGGATTTGGCCATCATTTCGCAACATGTTCAGCATATGTTCAAGACCCATGGTAGAATGCTCAGGGGTATTGGGAAACATAGCTCGTTCACTGAGAGAACTATCAGTGATCGCCAAGATGTTCTGCGAGCGCTATCGCTAGAATTTTCCTCGTCGCCAAAACTCGAGGACGTTCCGACTATCATTGACGAAGATACCCTTTCCCGCTTGCGAGCGTCGTATGCCTATATCTACGATCGAGAACAATGCTCAGGGAAAGAGGGATGGAGCCGCTTTCCGTGGAATATGGCGACGCGAGAACTCTGCACGATTAAGGCCAAAGCACTTGGCCCCTACAAGACGGTTACTGATGACTTTTACCAGCAGCTACGACTCAAAACTGGTTGGTCACATCGCCCGCTCTTACTCTCGATTACAGACCCCAAGGACAGCTAGCTATTGAAAATATTTATTATGTACCAACCGGCGACTGTTGCATTAGCATTTGTATTTTCTTGACATAAGTACTACTTGTATTAACGGCGCGCAATTCGTCAACGTCAAGTTGCTCTCTGAGGAACGGTTTCACACCTCGGGAGTTGGATTTGATATCCTAATTTCCACCTATATGAGATCCCTTTTCCTTGTGGGACTTCTGGACTCAGTCCAATAGAAAACTATTGTGTCAAAACAAGCTAAGTAATGGCGACGAGGTTTAGTGCCCGCTGTTTTTCGAGTTGGGTGTAAGCCGTAACAAGTTTTGAGAGGAAAATCAACTCAATATTAACCCAGGTATAATCTGACGAGAACAGATTTGGACGCCAAACGAATGAGTTGAGATTCGAGTATGATGTCTTTGTACATCCTTCAACGGTTCAATGGTCTAGTGGTTATGATTTCTGTCTCACAAGCTGTGCACAGAAGGTCTCCAGTTCGATCCTGGATTGAACCATTTTTTCTTCCTTTTTTTTTTTTTTTTTTTTTTTTTTGGTTTGTTGACTCGCGTAAGAATCGCCTTTTCTCATTTTTTTTTCAACTCCGATGGGTTGTCTCCTCCCTCATGATCATCCCTCCCTCACTCGAGGTGTCGTTCTCTAAGTGATCCATAGGCGATCTGTACTACTAATACGTGAGTGTTTCTTTCCATCCATTGCTGCCAAATGATGAGACATTTGTCTATTGAAACGAACGCCATCCTTCGAGGATGCTGCGCAATGTGTCTTTTTTAATCCTAGTTATACTGACCTATCCGTATATGAGTGCTACTTCGACGAACCTCTGCTGACTATCATCACAGGCACGCAATATAACGCACACCGGTTTCAAAGGAATAAGGTTCCCCAGCACACCCTGTGCACCTGGTGCACCTCGCAACTTTCATATACTGGATAGAGCGTTATACTTTGCCCATGTATCGTAACGCTTCAATTCTACGTTGCTTCTCTATCTGCCAAGATTCTCGCCCCTCCACTCGCTTCATCTCGAGCTTTGCATCCTGCATAATTTCCTCCTCTTCTTCGCGTGACATGCAATAGGTGAATGTTTCGCCCTGCTCCAGAAGCACCTCCACCCTTCTCCACCCTTTTTCATCGTCTTGCTTAGGTGCTTGAAATTTCCCTCCAACAAGTATTCCATCTGCCGCACAGCGCGGACATCGAGAGTTTCCTAAGGGCGTCCAGCAGGCAACGGGGTCGGTCTCCTTGAGCCCGTTCGCAGGGGTTGGGGTGTACCACCATCCTGGACGGTCCTCAGAGTCCCAAGCTGCGTACTCGTTGCCCTCGAGCATCGATAGCTTGAATACTCGTCGGCAAGGGACGCAGACGAACTTTGGGCGGTATGGGCTCAGGCACGTGTGGCTTCTTGCCGGAGCGAGGGATTGAGATGAGGCTGGTTCGGGTTGGAAAGAGTGGACCTTGAATTCTGTGTAGGATTTGAGATAATCCCATCGTTCTTTCGATTGGATTTCGCTGTCAGAGTAGTAACAGCATACGCGAGCGCAGCCACGAATGCGAGGAGCACCCACACGACATCCTACAAACTTTGCCCGGTCGCTCCTGAGACTCATTTCAGTTTCACTGAAGCACGATAGGATGTGTATGGGAGTGGGCGTACCTGCGGCATGCCATGATGGAAGGAAAAAACGTATCTGATCAAATCTCGGGCCCGAAGCATCAAATACAGAAATCACGGACCCAATGTATACGCTTGGCGCTATTGCAATATCGGTTTCAATACGTAGTGGGAAGCAAGATAAATTGAGCCCACTCAGAGAAGAGCCTTGGTACAAGGCTCCAACGTTCAGCGTTCAACTCCGAACTGTGAAGGTTTTTGGAATCTATCGCAACCCAGGGGCCAGGTGGCAGTCCCTCAACGGTTCGTCTTTAATACGTTCCAGTGATTGAACTATGACTTACCACACCTTCTCGAGATAGATGGCGTCTCTACTTCCACAGGAGGCTGGAGCTCCTTGACGCCGTGATGGACCATCTCGTTGATAGTAGTGGTCAGTCAGGCTCGCTTAAAAACATGCCGCTCTTTTGTAACTCCAAGCTAACCCCGCCTGTTCACCACCATATATATCTCTCAGAACTCCTGATCATCTCACCGAAATTACGCGGAAGTGACTACGTTGATTGGTTCCCAAGAGAGGCCTGCATTTTTTACATCTCCCAGCAAACAGAGCGAGCTCGATGTTGGCGCCAACTTACCCTCTCCCCACACAAGCAAGGCCGCATAAAGTCACTGGAGGAATTATCGATGCACAAAAAGGAGCAACGCGTGCAAGACACGACGAATAGCTATAGGGGCCGCATCGTGCGACAATTCAGACACCTACGCCCCTTTGGCTTCTCCCCCCACCCTCAAAGATGACATTGCTACTTCCGCTCGAGCTGGTTGAAGCCATAATAGACCACTTGGTTGAACCTGGTTATGAATACTTGGACAATGACACTTCTAGTTCGCTGAAAGCGGTCTCGCTTGTGTGCCGGTCTTTTGTGGCTCCGAGTCAATCCCGCCTGTTCGCCACCATAACGCTCAGATCTCCTCCTCACAACCTTCAATGCGTAGAATGCGGACTCCGGGAAGTTTATATAATCTCCACCCATCGTCAGCTGAAGTCCACCATTGCGGCATTCAGTCGCGTGACTGCAGCCTCTCCCCACCTTCTTGGCTACGTACGCCGCCTCGACCTTTATGGCTCTCCTCGTTCTCCGAGTCTCAGTGGCCCATCTCCACCTGCAAGTCACACTGAATGGCTCAGTTCGCAGTCACATCACCTCACGACCTTTATTCCAAACCTCGCTCCGAGGTTGAGTGGTTTTGGGCTACACGATGTAGATTGGAACGAACTTTCACCCGAGGTTGTAGACGCCATCAACAGCATCCTCAAATCCAGCCATTTGGCAAGTCTTTACCTAGAGGAAACGGCGAACATTCCCATTCCGGTGCTGGCTTCCTGCGGACATTTACAACACTTGACTCTCCAGATTGTGGGAGGTCATGAATCGACTGGTTCTCAATCGAGAACTGCATTTTCGATATCTCGCATCTGCGCCAGTTGGTTCTCGTTCGGGGAGGCCACAACCTCACGAAATTTTTTCAGACTTGTTCGAAGTCTCTGGAAAGTTTCGAGATGGAAGGTAAGTCCATTAGTCTGCGCCCGTTCATTAGTTGATCTACTCTCGTAATTTTCGTAGTTGACCTGGATTACCCCAATATAGACTACGACGCCATCAACATAAGCAGCCTCACTAGGTTACGAAAAGCTCAATTTATTGTCCCTCTCACACCTAGTTCCTCCACAATTGAGCCTCGAATTTCGTTGTCATGGGTTAACGAACTCCTCATACGTCAATCCCGCATGTCGCTTTTGAGGAGATAATTCTCGATTGCTATTTTTTCCTATCCATTATCTCGGTTCTAGCGATGTTCTCCAAGACGGACTCCATCCTCGCTCGCCGGGAGGTTTTTCCAGCTCTGCGGTTCGTCACCGTTCTGGTGCCAAATAAGACGGCCCCGCCACTGGGATATGACGAGTTCAACATAATAGAGACGATCAAGATACGAATGCCGTTGCTTGATGACATGGGTATCTTGAGAGTGAACCGTAGGCGATAACGCGTCAAATGCTAGAAGCGGATCTTTCGATATGTATTATATTAGAGTCGCCAAGGACAGCTAGTAGCGCAATTGAAAAAGAGCTCAGGCTGAATTTTTTTTTTCAGATACGACTTTGAACTTGAATTACTCCCTACTGACTTATGTCGACTTCCACTAGCTCAAGAATGATTGTCTTCTCACCACCAAAAAATAAACTTGCGGAACAGCTTGCACAGCCCGGTAATCTGGTTGCTGTAGACGGATTGACACGAGGGTCAAGTCCAAATAACAGTACTGAGATCTAATTTGCACCTATTCTTTCTTTGCTGTTCCCATGCGCGATTTTCCAAAAAAAAAGTATTATAATATAGCCAGTATGTATTACCTCAGTACTCAAAATATCTACATTACTTCCCCCTCCCCCGCCGACCTCTCACCTCCAACACTCAACATCCCCTCCAACTCCCTAACCCTCTCCTCCCAACCCACCACATCCGCCAACTTCTTCTCCAACAACGCAATCTCCCTATCCACACCTACCCTCTCCTTCTCGGACCCCATGCGGGTAAGCGTCCATCGCGAGGAACCTTCCCCGGAGAGTGTGAGTAGTTGGGTGTGGTATTTCATTAGGGAGGGTCTGTGGGAAAGGGGAGGGGGTTAAATTCGAAAGCGGGGAAGGGAAAGTAGGGGAAATTTTTAACGAACCGAAGAGAAATAGTAATAAGCGTGATCCCTAAAGCCTTGGCAGCCTCATACATCCTTCCTTCAACATCACTCGACACCGCACTCGTACACTCTACACAAAACAAAAACGCTCCATCAGCACCTCTTCCTTCCCCCCGAAAAAAAAAACGAAGAGAAAAGAGAGAGACGCACCATCCAAAATAGCAAACTTGGGCCGATGATAAAAAACCCTAGCAAGCCCCATCCGCTGCTTCTCACCACCACTCAACACATCCCTCCACTCCTTCCTCGTCTTCCAACCCCCTTCACGCTCAGGTAAATACTTCAAAAACACACACTCCAATATCCCCTCTAATTCCTCCTCCGTCCGTCCAGCACGGACAAAGTCCGCATAAGAGTGTGGGTAAATCACCTGTTCGAGGAGGGATCCAGTAACCATGTACGCGCGTTGTGGTACCACAAAGATAGTTTGTTGCGGGAATGAGGAGGAGGGGGAGGGAGAGTCCACGGGCCTGACAACCTCCGCATCAACACCCTCAACAGGCCACAACCCCGCCAACACCCTCGCAACAGCCGTCTTACCAACCCCATTGCTACCCGTAATCATCAAATGCTCGCCGCGCTTGATGACGAGGTTCAAGTCCCTCACGAGCGGTGCCTCCCCAGCGCCAGCACCGGGGATCCTGACATCCACCTTTTTCAACTCAATGGCACCGTCCGCGTCGGCGATGGTGGGCACGGGCAATGGAGGGAGGTTGTGTAGCGTTGAGACGAGCGTGTATATCCGCGTCGTGAGGCCCGCTAGCTCCAGGAGGTCTTTGTATGCGTACATGAGCCGGCCGCCGGCGTCTGCTAGTGAGAGGAGCAGACGTCTGTTGGATATGTATGCTGTTGTTTGGAGCCAGCAGTTAGTATGCGGTGAAGACAGAGGGAAACAAAACAAAACATACTTTCCGTCCGCCCAGCAACAGCATCATCTTTCCTATCCTCCCTCCTCCCCGTCTGTATACCCAACGACCGCTTCGTCCGCGTGAACAAAATGGGCACAGCGATGAGCGCATAGCCCGCTGCGGACCATAAATACTTGATCACGTAGTCTTCTGTCCACTCGTATGCGATCCGGATCTAGGTGGGCAGGCGGTAAGTAAGTAGGTGTTCAAATGAAGGAAGGAAAGAAAAAAGGAAAAACCTTGTATATCGAATTAACATGCTTAATAAGCCTCAAATACGCCTTGGTCAATATATCCCTCTCCCTCGAACCACCATCGTAGAACCTGTGCAAGCATATATATCAGCACCGTGCCCAATCAATCGACGAGAGAAAAAAAAAACACCCACGCAACCTCCTCAGCCTCCCTCCCAACCCTCCCCATCCCCCTCCGATACTCCCCCTCCAACCTCGCTTCAACAGCCGCCAACCGCCCAAACGCAGGCGTGACAGCGCGCAGAATAGCCACTGTTGCATAATAGTTGGCAAAGAGCAAGATGGTGCCCCTCACACCTAGAGAGCGCGAAAGCTGGGAAGTGAAGAGGAGGAGGTCAAGGGATGGTTTGAGTAAGTTTCCGCTGATGATCGAGAGTTTTCTTAGTTAGTAGTTGATGGGATGAGGAATGATGGACGTACTATAGCCCTGCGAGTGCCTCTGACCAGGCTTCGACGTCTGCAGTTATGTATTGCTCGACGCCTTCGAGACCTGCTGATGTTGAGGATTTCTTGCCGTCTTCACTTGTGTTGTTATTTGAGCCGGTGACGCGGTAGTACCGTAGGTCGGGGAAGGCAGAGAGGTAGAGGTCGTGGACGTAGCGCGTAAGACGCGTACGAAGGGTTAACGCGAGAGACGATTGGAGGTGTCGGATCTGAGTAACGAATTAGATACGCGTTTGAGGGACGGATAATGGACGCGGGGTGGGAAGGAGAGTTCGGTCCGAAGAGGACACCAGCGAACATCCTGGATCCTCAGTCCAAATCGTAGGTGACCCAAGCTAAAGCTGGTCAGGAGTACGCTATGCTCCAACGAAACGTGCGATACGCAGGGAAGGCCTGTGGCCCCAAAAAAGTATGTATATACGGAACGCGCCGGATAGGACAGAAGTAAGGACATACCATGGAGTTTGTATACGTACTCGGAATGGCGAGCAAGAACCACAGACCAAGGCCTTTCATGAAGCCCTTACCATCCGCCCTAACCTACAATCAAGAAAGGTGAGGATACAACGAAAACGGGAGCAGAGTAACGGACCAAATCGCGAACTATCCTCCCATCCAACCTAGCAACCATAATGCTCAACACCGTTCTCAAAACCAAGAACGTCGAATGGAGACCAATAACCGCCATGATCTTGCTCCGCCACCACGGACTCGCGCCCTTACCCGACCACGAATGCGGGGGAAGCGCTATCCGCTGAAGGATGGCGTTGAGCTGCTTGAGGAAGGCAATGTCGATGTTAGGCTTGTTCTTCGTCGCCGGCGGTAGGAGTGGAAAGTGGGGCGCATCGTTGGATAGTTTGGATATTGGTATGGGGTGTATCGGAACCTACATTGTATCAGCTACCTTGATGAATACGAGAAGGTAACGCAATGCAGACCTTCACGACTTGATCACGATACGGAACCAACAGCGTCTTGCCATCGCCGCCGTTCGGATCGTCGAGGTACACCTGCTGCAAAACGGCCGCTAAATCTTCCTTGGTCAAGCGCTGTTTTTCTTTGCCCTTTCCCTTCCCCTTGAGCATTCCAGAGAGAGAAACGACGGCATCTTTCGGGAGGGTGAGGAGGCGGGTGCGGAGGATGAGGAGGACAATGAGGGCGATGGTTGTGGGACTCGGAGGCTGTTTGAGGGGTTTTGAGAAGACGGGCATGGATGTCCTGCGCAAAAGAGGTCGATGCGAAGAGAAGACGCTATTTCTGTATTTCGGAAGCATGTGATTTTCTAATCTCATCAAGTCACGCGCAGGACACGTGGCAAGTGATCACATGCACCTTCCCCAATATCATCGTTTACACATGTCGTTTTTCTATTTACATGTCACCTGGCTACAGCCTACGAGCGTCAAAGCGTTGACGCTCCCTCGGGAATTGACTTGGAAGGTGCAGTTACATGGTTTTTGCATGATTTTGGGGTTCATATCTAAGGAGAATGATATATTGGTATCATTCCCAGAAAAAGGTCCCCTGAATCAAGTGTACAAAAATGGACATGAAAAATCCGAAAATTACAAAAGTTAGTGCCCAAGGAGTCGCAGAATAATACAGACAAAACAGAATCGCCCACCACTCAGTCGAAATAGCGAAGGTGTCTTCCGTTATCCAGAAAGAAAGGCAGGTCATCACGGTGGTCAGAGTGCCTGTGAATACCAGGGTGAACAGTTGTAACATGTACTTGGGAGTGTTGACATCTGATGGGTGGAAGTTGTAAAGTATTCACGACACCTCGAAAGAGAAGGAAAACTTACAATATTTAACTTTACCATCATTTTGCTTGTAGTAGGGGGGCGGCAACTCTTCAGCACGGCTAATATTCAAGCCGCCTCTGATTCTCCACCTAATCCCCTCTTCCACCTTTATCCCATAAAGCATGCAACAGAATGCATAGATACCCATCCCTGCGATGAGAAAAAGAATCTCCAATATCATCAGGTTGACGGAAACACCGAATGCATAGGCTAAGAAAGGCATCTTAATATCGGGAGAGAGATTGACCGGGTGGCTCCATTGATAGATGAGTGTCTTCATTGCTGCGTAGACGATGCCCGAATAGAGGATAATGGCAGGTGTATATATGGGAACTTCAAGGATGCATAGTAGAGGCATGTGTCAGATGTAGAGGCGAGTTGAGAAGGTAAAGGAAAGCTTACTAGCGAAGAAAAAGACATGCCGGAGAAAAGGACCGTAGTCTCGTGCGAAGAATGCTGAAAACAAGTTCAGAGAATTATTTCCGTAGAGTCCAATACAGTAGAATCTTGAAAGGTGGATTGCTTAGTGACGAAACTGGACACTGAAAGGTCATAAAAATACTCACCCCGAAGTCACAACTACCCCATAGATCCAATCAACAGTATTAGCGGCGACTGGATACCCAAGGTAACCAAGCATCACCTTTGCCAGTCCAAAGAGAAGGACAGAAGCCGTGACCACTATCCGATAGCCCGTTATTGGTGGATGCCGTGACAAGTGAAACCCCGCTGGGAGGTCCACCTCATCAGTTCTATACAATACAGGCCAGAGATGTACTGCAAGATCATGGTTGAATAGCCATTTCATAAGCTGCCGATGATCCTCGTTGTATAAGCCAACGCAATATAAACTGTGATGAAAGTCAAGTCTCCATTCATGACTCAAGCTAAACATGACGACTCACAAAACGAACACCACAACACCAGAGACCCATTCGAAAGTGACTGGAACAACGACAGCGCACCGAGCGCTTGTTATTGCCTTTCCCACCCCGAGGCAAATGGTCGTTAGGAGGACGGCAAGTCGGTATATGGTAATTTTGGGATGCCAGCGCCGCACGGGGTCATTGTCGGGTGAGTGGAAGGTGTCAAGTACGTCGCCGTTCGGACGCGTTTCGAGGCTCATTGCTCTCTAGCTCAGAACGTATAATGGCGCGCTAGAAGGAGAATGACAGTATGGCAACAAGGTTGATCTCACGCACCTGACCGTATTTGCCCTGCGCTCGGCGCTTAACGCACCCACGAATTCCTGGTTGTGCCGGCCAGTGCTCGCCAGATAATCGCCAAAGTAGTCTCTGACGTGAGTGCTAAGTATGATATATGATGGATAAATAGCGCCATTGGACCTCAAAAAAAGTTGTGCTTGGCGCTGGCCATGCGCGTGACTCTGTCAAGGTATTCCGACGCCTTATGATCGCTTCCAGTCGTATCCACACAACATCCTCGAGCATGTAACATTGTAAGTGATCTCAGCTCCATGCCTTTGCGTGGCTTACAGAAACATCCTAGATATCTCTGCCAGATTTCTTGACTCCACCTCGCTATATGTGGTTGTTTGTACAAAGCGAGGCGGAGTCTGAGAATTTTCAGGAGGTGTCTAGGGTTTCTGTGAACAATCGCATTCCCTAGCCTCAAATAAATGGCCCTCGCCAGCCCAACGTTGGTCCGAGTCTCTGGTTTGTGGTACGACGATGGAAACATCGTCTTCCAAGCCGAATCAAGCTTATTCCGAGTCTCCTTGGGTGTCCTCGCAGCACATTCTCCCATCTTTGACGATCTCCTAAAATTGCCACAGTCGCAGGACCAAGAGATGTATGAAGATTGCCCGTTGATGGTGTTACACGACAAAGCGGAGGACTTGGCGAATTTTTTGAGGGCGGTCTATTATTGTGGGTGAGTGAAGTTGTGTTTATCCGTTTGACGTTCGTCAAGTTTCTGACCATTGACAGATTCTTTGAACCCCCACCAAGCAAAACCACAATCGACATTGTGGCCGGTGTACTACGCCTAAGCACCAAATATGAGGTTTCTTATCTCCGCCAACATGCACTACGACATCTCGACACCTTGATGTGCAATACCCTCCAAGATTTTGATGCTCTAAAAAGCAAAAAGACAATCCAGTCTACTGAATCTTTTTCTTTTTTCATAGCAGATCTGGTGCACGAAATGGATCTACCATGGCTTCTGCCCCCATTTTTGTACAACTGCACTCTGAATATCAAGAAAGTCGCCATGGGTCACACGTACAGAGGCGAAGAAAGGTGTATGAATAGCTCACAACAATTGGCCTGCGTCAAAGCTCTGCAGCCATTGGAAAAATGGTACAAGGGAGACATTTTGGGCTTCTTATACTGGACGGACGTAGATGGTTGCGAGTCTCCCGCCCAGTGCGATGAAGGTCGTCTCAAACTGGCATGCTCTTCTTTCGATGCACACCATTGTGCGCTTGTCCCGTTTTCCGGTCTTATTGGGGAAAATGTCCGAGATTTCGTCTGCACGACGTGTTGCACTGCAAGTCGCGACGCACATTCTGCCGCGAGGGATGCGCTTTGGGAAGCTTTGCCTGGATTATTTGGCCTTCCTCCTTGGGAGACTCTCAGGGCGCTCAGAGAACATGCTTTGACTAGCTCAGATGCGTCCTCCGAAATGGAACCTATCAAGACTACCACACGGCCTGAAATAGAGGATGAGTCAGAACCCCCGCTTTCCCTTTTCCATTAGTTGCTAGTGCATCGATATGGCTACTGTGTGCGCTTTCTTACCTCTATTTTTCGAGCTGCCTATTCACTCTTAATTTTTTGCCATAGTCCTGCGCGACTTCGGAATTAAACTGTTCCTGCTGTTTAACCGAACTGTATATTTTTTGTACCAACCGGACTGGGTGCGATTCTGCGAGGGGTTTATTGGACTTCTTATTTCAATACTCTTTCAACACAACCTACATCCTATTTACATTTCGGGGATGAGGAAAGAAAATATTGGGAAAATCGAAATTGTCCTAGTATTCCGCTTGCCAGAAATTCGCCAAAATATTCTCTGATGTGACTTTGGATACCACGCGCCATTGGATTTCAAATAGTCTGGACTCTGCTTGATGCTGGCCATTACCACTAGCGCTCAAGGTGCTCTCGGATTATTCCGACGCCTTATAATCGCCACACGCGTCAGCGCTTCTACTCATCTACAACGACATCGTCGAGCTTGTAAGTGATCTCACCTCCATGTCTTTGCGTGGCTTAAACAATCGCATTCCCTAGTCTTGAATGGCTACAGACAGCCCAACGTTGGTCTCCGATTTGTGGTACGACGATGGAAACATCGTCTTGCAAGCCGAATCGAGTTTATTCCGAGTCTCCTTGGGAGTCCTCGCAGCACGCTCTCCCGTCTTTGACGATATCCGAAAATTGCCACGGTCCCAGGACCAAGAGATGTATGACGATTGCCCCTTGATCGTGTTGCCCGACAAAGCGGAGGACCTGGCGAATTTTTTGAGGGCGGTTTACAATTCTGGGTGTGTGTCGTGTTTCATTTTTTTGACGATTATAAAGCTTATACCCATTGACAGATTCTTTCAACCCCCACCAAGCAAAACCGATTTTGACACTTTGGCTGGTATATTGCGATTGAGCACTAAATATGAGATTCCTTATCTCCGCCAACGTGCACTACTACATCTTGACACCATAATCTGCAATACCCTTCAAGACCATGACACTCGAGAAAACAAAAGGACAATCCCGCCTAGAAATTCTTTGGCTTTTCTGATAGCGGATCTGGCTCACGAAATGGATTTACCGTGGCTTCTACCCCCGGTTTTGTACTTCTGCACTGAGGACATTGTCAGGGATTACATGTACAAAGGGGAAAGAAAGTCGATGAACAAGTCACAACAAGTGGCCTGCATCAAAGCTCTGATGCCATTAATAAAATGGCATCAGAGAGAGGTTTTGAGCTTCTTGTACTTGACGAACGTAGATGGCTGCAAATCCTTTGCACAGTGCAATGAAGGTCGTCTCAAACTTTCGCGAGCATGCTCTGCTTCCGAAGTCAATTTTTCTCTCATCTCGTTTTCTGGTCTTTTCGAGGAAGTTGTCCGAAGGGTTGTCTGCACGACGTGCTGTATTGCAAGTCGCGACGCACATCTTGCCGGGAGGGAGGCGTTATGGGAAGCTTTGCCCGGATTATTTGACCTTCCTTCTTGGGAGACCCTCAGGACGCTCAGAGCACAGGCTTTGGCTGGATCTTGAGTAGTTCGGTGATTTTATATGACTACTGTGTGCATTTTTTTTTGCCTCTAGTTTTCGAGCTGTCTATTCACTTATAATTTTTTGCAGTATTTCCTACTGTTTTTGCTGTTTAATCGAACGGTAATTCTTTTGTACCAACAACAGCGGTGGGTGCGAGGGATTTACTGGACTTCTTATTTCATTACTCTTTGAACACCACCTATATCATATTTACATATTGGGGACGAGAAAAAATGGGATCTATCCAGGTAGCGCTTCAGAAACAGAAAGGGTATAAAGCTACCTGTGCGGCGAAATTGACTCCATCCTCATTCAGCATCGTCTAATCTACCCTCTTCACTTCTTTGAGGCCTTGGCTGTGGGGGCCTTAGCACCTCCAGCAGTCTTCGCGGGCGTTTCTGTCGCTACCTTCTTGGCACCACTTGCTGCAGCGGGCGCACGAGCAGCCTTGGGAGGCGCACCGCCCTTTATCTATGGCCGTGGCAAGGATCGATAAGAAACTGAATGAAAGGGTCAAGGGTGCATCCTTACCTCGGTCGTTGGGTTTCTGCTAGCAGCGGTTGGGTTCCTGGGTGTCTTTCCAGCCATCGCAATTTCTGAGAGTGAGAGTGAGGGTGGAGTGAACTTGCAATGTACTATAACCAGACCTTGTGTTATTTGAGGAAACGGTTCAAGTGAGGAGGGAACTTGGACTGCAGAACTTCGTCGAAGGTTGACCGGCTTATATACCTCGAGGAGATAGAAGGCTGTACCCAATGACCAAACAATCCTCAAGCAGCGCTGATTTCGCCATAAGTTACGGAGTTTCGCTCATAGTGAGGCTGACGCCAGAAATGAAAAGGTCACGAAGGAACGTGGGTCGCATGCGCAGCTGCCAGTAGACGAGAGAGTGGCGTTACGATGACGAAAATTAAGTTCGCCGTTCATTCCTGGCGTTCGCCGATTCGAGGATAACATATCTGCGTTTTATCATACATTCATGTCTGTTTTCAGAGTGTGATTTGGACGGATCAGGCTCCTACCATCGATCCCCTGGAGAACCGCTCAGATCCGACGATAGAGCGCATTCAGCCTTTCTAATCTTGAGAAGGTTTAGTAGGTTGCAGACTGCGATGGTTTGATAAAGCCTCTCTCCTGTCAATGATCGTCGGTGAAGGAAATCCTTGACAAATGCAGCTGTTTGTCCATCAATTGCCAAGCATCCCAAAATAGTTCACAATAACGCACCGTGACCTTCGACCAACAGCCAACGAACCAACAGCTACAACTCACGTCGTAAAAGCATATCATCCCGAACCCTTTTTGTGTGCATCACACCACGTTTCCCTCACGAGGGATGCACCGCTTTGAGCTTGGCTGACCGCCGTCTTTCTTCGCGAAGGCCGTTCCTGGAATGTCCTTTGACGAAATTCCTTTGTGACGCGGTTGACCTGGCCACCCCGCTGCGCGTTACCGAAAATTTCTTTCTTTCTTTTCAACGTCCATCTCTTCCTACGAATACTTGTGTGCTAGACACCTAACAATCTCGAGTTTTTCTTTCTTCCGGTGTGCTTGGACTCGCCTCGCGCTCTTATCAAACTTTCTGCACGTTCACAGCTTGCTGGTCGGGCCCATACCACCAACTTAGGGAGTCCTCAACGCTCTTTCTTTGTGTCTTTCTATCGCGTCTAATCCGCTACTACACAGGATTGCCATAACTATTCTCCCCTCCAACCTTTTCAATACGTCATGTCGGACGAAGAATCATGGAACGACGGAAGTAAGTATTCTATGAAAGAACCACGTGGAATGCGTCTAATTTATATATCAGATGCCACGGGCGGGACGGAGTCTGGGAGCCTCATCTCGGACGTTCTTCAAAGTCTGTCCGATCCAGAAGTTCCCGCGCGTTTGATAGACCTTCCATATGCACCAACTACGCGAGTCGTTGAAGAGGATGACGAATCTGTGACCAAGTACGCGGACCTGTGTTCTCAGTTTCTGCGACTCGACGAGGAAGAGGACCTTAGCATTGGCGCAAGAACCGTCGATCATGGGGCACTGTTTATGAAAGATCGTCCTCCCGGCGTCGAGTTGCCACGTCAACCTCTCGAATACGCTTGTGAGCACGCCAGCTGTTCTGCAAATCTTTATAAGGCGGATGAAGATGGACTGTACCGATCGGGGAGCAACGGCATTGGCACATGTAGAAATGAAACCTCTGAAGCTGTCCAGTTTGACGCGTGGGAAGTTGACGAGGCAGGAAGTGTGGATGTCTTTGAGCTGTATGGCACTGATATTTTTTATTTTGATGAGGTTCCTCTCTCAGATGCGAACACTGAAGAACTCCGAGACGTCCCTCCTTCTCCGGGTTTGTCTGAGGCGAGCGTGGACGGAACCGGTCGTTATTTTACGATGAGTAAAGGGAAATGCAAGGAGGGAACGGACTGCGCAGACCCTCCTCCGATGAGAGGCGGCCTTCATTCTACGAAAAGTGGAGGGAAGTGGAAAGGGGAAGCGGACCTTGAAGATCCTCCTCTAGAAGACGACGAAGAGCCTATTGAGCGCCCGATCGCAGAGGTAATTTTTTTTAAAGACGTGCACGATTATTTTTTGACTAGAGATTTGAATAGACCAACTCCGAATGGGTAAAGCACAACACTCCGCTTTTAGAGGAGTACGCTAAGCAGCAAATAAATCCGCCTCTGGGGAAGCGAGTTGACGTGGAGGTCCGTACATCATAAAATGAGTGTGATATTTACGGTTCTTATTATCTGAAAGCTTGGCGACGCGACTCAATTCGTGTTGGGTATGTTCCAAATGCCTGCGAACCGTGGCGGGATCAAGGAAAAAGGCAAGAAGGGGAGGCCGAACTTGAAAAAGCAAGATCTAGCGGAGGCGGAGAATGTGTTGCTAGATGGATTTGTTGATATTCAAAAGTGGGCCGATGAGTATTTGAGAGTTCGGTTTGGGCAGGAGTCTACTGTGATTGGGGCCTTGGTACCGACGGTCTGTGCTATTGCACTTTGGGTGTTGTTGGGACTAACGTGCATCTTTTAAAGCTTCTTACCATGATAGTTAATAGCTTTTACGAAGCCCAGATGGTTTTACTGGATAATATTGTTTCGAAAGCTCTTGAGCTAAAGAACGATAGGCTGGGCTCATCTTTGGAGGTGTCCGATTTTGCTTTTGGGTTCGGTATGTTCTTTCAATTGCTAGTTGAAAGTATATCGAATTTATTCCTGTCGCAGATTTTAAAATGACCCAGGAGTTACCTTTCTTGGCCGAAGCGAGCTGTCGCGTTAGAGAGACCCCAGTGGACAAAGCGGCAGAAATACTAGCAGGTAAAAACTTCTTTGCTCTTATAGTCACTGCATCTATTAATGCGGTGACAGAAAAAACAGCTGAGGTTTCACAGAGGAGTTCGAGGGGTCGGGGCACCGGTCACAGGGGACGCGGCATTCAAGTTGGTTCCAGGGGAAATGTCACCAGTTCCAGAGGGCGCCCCATCAGACCTCGGAAATTAGCAGATTCTGACGCGGATGAAGGTGAAGTCGTAGTCACGCCCATTCCCTCTGTCCCCGTACAGAGGAAAAAACAACCCGCACGGAGAGCTCCCAATAAAGCGCCCATGAAGGCTAGTCCAGAGTCCGAAGTCGACGTGGAGTCACTTCCGTTAGACCATTCCGAAATCCAATCAGGAACGGAGACTATGCTGAACTCGCCCGCGGATACTTTGATTGCATTGGATGGTTTCGACGATGTTGAAAGTTTATTCAAAGTGGCTGGTGGATCATCTACACCTCTTGACTCTGCCAAAACCTCAACGTCTGGTGGCTCAGTAGAGAAGTCGTCAATTCCGCCTCCCACTACGCATTTATACCGCAGATACGATACGCGTCCAGTCGCTCGCGTGGCGTCATCTGGTGCTCCTCGATTAACCGTGCGCATCCCAAGGCTGAGCTCGAAGCTGTCCGTGAGCGCGGCGAGGCTTAGCCCACTCGGCCAACTCTGCGTCAATGCTATCCCGGACCCTGAAGAGCCCAGTGGTGCAACCGTGCCTTCCATCTCGGATACTGGTCGCGCTCGAAAAAAGAGGAAGAGGGATGAATAATTTGTTTTGTCTCGTGTGGTCATCTCGTTGACAATTGACCCTGTAATTACAGCTGATTGCGAAACGTTAGAGCAGCTAGCTTCCCGTTCCAGCACAACCATCTGTTTGTTTGTTGATGGCCGGACATCAGCACCTTCCAAAAGCAGCACCTGCTTTGCTTCAGCTTTTCCCAGTCACCCTCACCTCCCCCTCTCCTGAAATAATAATGGCGCAGAATGGTCACCGAAGACAAATTGCATAACCTGTCAATAAAATGCTTGCTACCACGTCGCGTCAAATGGTCTGAAAAGCCCCATCGATCCGATTTATTTGGCTTTGGTGTCCGCCGCAAACAAACACACGGTTGAGCTGGAACGGTAACCGAGCTGCTCTAACGTTTCGCAATCAGCTGTAATCCAGATCGTACGCGTTCAATTCATGTACTGTATGTAGATCGCTAATGAGAGAATCGCTTTTAATAACTAACGCTCTACTCCAACACTCACTCACTCTTTCCTGACACGCAATGCACAAGAAGATTTTGGGGTGCTTACCCTAAGCAGCTAGCTGTATCTGGATCGGCACCTAAGTCGCCTTTCATAAAACACGAAAGATGTATAAGCATACTCTCACTTTAAGAACAATCCATAGCATTTTGTTTCGAAGCTGGAATGTTCCGCTAGTGCTCATTGAGTCATGTTGAACGGTTTTGCACTCGAGACAAAAGACATCAATAAGGTTTTCTCAAGGTATTTATAAGATTGAAGGGGCGAAAAGAAAGTGTCTTTGAATTTCCTGAACCAAAGTCCGACTTCAAACAGTACGCCTATAAGTAATAACCACACAGTTCAGACTGTAGCTAACACTACAGAACGTTAAAAAGGAGAGGAAAAGGCTCAAGCAGCAACCTTCTTCGGTGCGAATTTGTGCTCCTTGAAATCAGCCTTAACGTCCTTCGGCGGTGGGAGGTTAGAAGGCAAAGGGGGAGGCAGGGAGGTAGGAGGCGGGGCTGGCGCTTTGACGGGAGCTTTGGGTTTTACGGGGGCATCGTCTCTGCGTGCGTGAGTTGGAGGTGGCTTAGAACCGTCATCAACCTTCTTGGGCGGGAATTCAGGCGCTTTGCCGTCCTTTGGTGGTGGGAGGTTAGAAGGGAGAGGGGGAGGCAAAGAAGTAGGAGGCGGGGCTGGCGCTTTGACGGGATCTTTGGGCTTAACGGGAGTGTCATCTCTGCGAGCGTGGGTCGCAGCTGGGGCGTCCTTAGCAGGGGGAGGGGGCTTAGAACCGTCATCAGCCTTCTTGGGCGGGAGTTCAGGCGCTTTGCCGTCCTTCGGTGGTGGGAGGTTAGAAGGGAGAGGGGGAGGCAAAGAAGTCAGAGGCGGGGCTGGCGCTTTGACGGGATCTTTGGGCTTAACGGGAGTGTCATCTCTGCGAGCGTGGGTCGCAGCTGGGGTGTCCTTAGCAGGGGGAGGGGGCTTAGAACCATCATCAGCCTGCTTTGGCGGGAATTCAGGCGCTTTGCCGTCCTTCGGTGGTGGGAGGTTAGAAGGGAGAGGGGGAGGCAAAGAAGTCAGAGGCGGGGCTGGCGCTTTGACGGGATCTTTGGGCTTAACGGGAGTGTCATCTCTGCGAGCGTGGGTCGCAGCTGGGGTGTCCTTAGCAGGGGGAGGGGGCTTAGAACCATCATCAGCCTGCTTTGGCGGGAATTCAGGCGCCTTGCCGTCCTTTGGTGGTGGGAAGTTAGAAGGCAAAGGGGGAGGAAGAGAACTGGGGGGAGGACGCTTGGCAGGATCCTTAGGGTCTACAGGGGCATCATCCCTCCGTGCGTAGGTCGGTACTGGGGCATCCGACGTCAGTGAATTCGAAGGGGCGGGTTTATCGCCGTTGCCGCCATCCTTCGGCGGGACTTCTTGCTCCTTGCCTTCCTCTCCGAATTGCTTCGGGGGAAGCCCGTCCTTGGGTGGATTAGAAGGAAGGGGGGGAGGAAGGGAGGAGGCAGGGTGCTTGGGATCGTCCTGTGGAGGCGGGACGCCGTCAAGGGGTCCTTTAGCAGGGAGCGTGGCAGGATTCTAAAGGGGGTGTAAGAATTAATTCTATAATGCAATGAACATGTTGCCTACTGCCTGGTGAACGTTATCTGGAGTGTATGGGGTCGTAGCGTTAACCCGTCCATCGGATGGTTTGACAACGTCCCGAGGGATGAGGCCTGCGTTGGCGAGCTGAGCAGCGCAAAGAGCGAAAGTAATGAGTGTGTAGAAACGAGAGATGGCCATTTCTTGAATGAGAGCCTGAGAATGAAGTTGTTGGAGGGAGGTGGGCAGTCGGACGTCCCTTTTATACGAATTCTAGTAGATAACCTGGTCCAATGAAACCCTTCAGATCTTTCATGCTATTCGACTGCGCAAACGACATAGCTCGGATCGAGAAAACCATGGAGACACGGCAAGTGGGGGCCCTATTTGGAGATACACAAAGTCTTCTACTGCGAGTTTAGTGATGCGAAGAGAAAGAAAATAAAAATAGGCGCACTTTATCGGAAACAATGTAAACCTTTGAGTGAACATTGCTGAGGTTCATCGTTGCCTTTGGCTGCGGACGCGTTGCTGGGAAACAATACTCGCAGATGATAGGTTGACCATTCCAAAGCGAAGAGGAAAAATGTCGGGGGCGAGACAACCCTGAGAGCTGCGGTGATGCGACTGTTCATCCTCAAAATTTCAAGCTCGTTGAACTAGGGTCAATGGCTTGCCGTAAGTTTATCTGAGCAGAATTGGTCGCTTGAGGGTTTTGCACACGCGCCGGAGTGTCGACTCCGAGAATGAGATGTAGCGGTATGCATAATTGCAAGTAGGGGTGTGAATTATCTATGTTATGTAAAATATATTTTGAGATCCTACAACTGCGTTAGTGGTTGCGCTTTACTATGATCCCGCACCAAAGGGGCACACCTGAGACTACATATATCCAGCGTATTCGGGTCGCAGAGGCATCCAGGCGTCGTCAGGATATCCATGTGTCCATTTCAGAGCCATGGGACATCACGACGTCCTTTTAGATGACTGGACAACAGGGGGCTCCCTCAGAGGGTTTTCCTCGCGTGCTTGCTCTAAGAGCTTCCCCAACCCCTTTTCCATCACGGCTTTCTACTTTGCCATCGTCACCGTGAACATGAGGAGATATGCTTGGAAAACGCACCTGGACACACGCCCGATATTGCTCCCAAACCTTCCCGCACTTCGCCTCAAACTCATCAGCCTTTTGTTTGGAGTACGCTGAGCGCTCCGAGGACGAGACTCCCACTGCTGGCTCAAGATAACCTTCGAACCAGGCGTTGAAGCATGTATCGTACTTTGACTTGAGGGGTGTACATTCTGGTGAGAGGCTGTCCGCCATGATGGGCGGTGACGAAAGCCTATGATAAATATCGGCAAACATCAAAACTTTCAAACACAAACCACCACATGTCTTCTCCAACGGATTCCTTGCACAAAGTCTGCATCAAATTTTTGTGAGGGTCCATGGTTTCTGTCGCGAAGTCCCTCGGCGTGCCGACGAATTTTGTCGTCGTCCTTGGTCAAGCTTCAAGCTTGCGTATGGCCGGTTTCTCTACGATCACCTGATGGTCTGCAAATGCCCGCATGCACAGAGGCTCATACAATTCTTGATAAGTATAATTTGCTTGCGTAAAACCTGTAATTTTCTCATCACATATAATTAGTCTCATTTGTCGTATCATCCGCTCGAGTCCGAGTTCCTTCAATGAAGTACTTATTCGAGTTCCGAACCATTGAGTACAAATTAAGTACCACCGTTGCCGACAATGACAAGGCCAGGATATGGGTGTTTTCCGCCAATCAACGGTCAGCTTTTGGGTCCTGGAACCCTCGTAGTCTCATAGGTCGAATTGTTGGATAAGAATATTTCTTATCGCCTCGCTGAGCTACTTATTTCAAGGGGTGGAAGAAGCTTTAATATACAAGTTTTGTACCATCAGAAAGGCACTGACGTTCCCCATTCATTTATACGCATTAGAGGTGCAGCCGTGTGAAATGGCTTGGAAATGACCGTGTCGGCAAAACCTCCGATTCAACTTCAGCAAGGACCCTGGAAATTCATGTCAAATGCCTGATCCATATCCGGAGGAAATTTTGAAAAAAATCCGGATAGGCCTCAGGCCTATCCGGAGGAAAATCGAAGAAATTTAGGCAAATGCCTGAGTTGAATGTCCGGATAAAAATTGCCTAAGCTAAGGGGGGCCTGATCTAAGTCCGGATAAAAATTGGACAAAATGAATATATTTCGTACGTCTGCAGTGCCTGCACCCTGGATTAAAATAATGACGTTGAAATGGGAACAGATGATGAGGAAGATTAGATATGATTGTTACATCGAAATTCAAGCGCCAAGAGCCTTGCCTGCGCAGCCAAAAAAAAATCAAACATATACTATGCCTGAGGTAATGTCCGGATAAAATTTGGCAAAATCCTATGTCTGATCCCATATCCGGAGGAATTTTGGGAAATTCTGTCCGGAGGAAAATTGCGAAATTTAATGATTTTTGGATCAGGCATTTGACATGAATTTCCAGGGTCCTCTTCAGCAACGTAAAGTTGCCCTCGTGCGTCATAATTTCTTCTGAGATGGAAGAGGGAATATATATTTGGGGAAGATGAACGTGTGAGCGCGCTCATTTGCCCCTAAAGACACGTTGAACCAATATGCGTGCGCATGACAACGCGTCGCGCATTCATGTGATGTGACGAGGCGCGTCTGTGAAGACTATGTCACGGTTCGTCTCTGTCACATCACCTCCTGGTTGTTTCTTCTCGACGACGTTGTTGCCACCCACAACGATGTCCTCCTCGTCGTTGCAGTCGTTCTCCGTCCCAACGTCGCCAGCGATGACCCGCTCGTCAAAAACACAACCAGTGACCCCTCAGCGACTCCCACGACATCAACACCGACATTCCCAATCTGCCTACAGGTCACCATTGACGCCCTCAAGCCCCTACACTCCTCTCAGTTTTCGCTCTGCGGGATCGACAGGCAGTTCCACGCTCACTACACCAGACAACATGGCTATGATTCTCAAAAAGCGCCTTTTTCCTGCTGGCTCTCCAGAGGTTCAGCGCACTGCCACCATTCTGACTGATGGTCAGGACAAGAGTCTTGCGGATATTGCAGACAACTGGAGATCTCGTGCAAACGAAAATGGCATCAAAGTATCGTCTTATCGGGCTCAGGATGATTCTCACTATGGAGACGACGAAGGTCAGTGCATATATGCGCGTGTGTGTCCCTTATTTCGCTAATCAAATGCATGCAGGCAGCGAGATGACCATGTCCGATGCAAATGATTCAGGGCTCGTCTCCACAGAAGAAGGTATGCAATGTAACCAAGGTATCGCTTGTCCATATCTCAATTGTCGATTTTAGCCCTTCTTCCACCGCCTTTCCTTTCCTATCACCGGCGTGCTAGCAGTGCCATCGTAACGCGCCCTCGTGCCCAATCGCACGCGTCCCTTCCAAGCGCCCGTTGTCAAACGCTTTCCCCTACTGTTCCTCGCTCTGTGAATCGCGCACAATCCCCCACATCCCCAACCGTTCCCCGTCGCACGCTCTCTTCCCTTAACCAGCCGTTAAACCTCATGTCCACGCCTCCTCCGAATCGGACCCTAGCTAGACAACTCAAGTTGAAGGGTAGCTTCACCGATCCTGCTCAACCCAGGAGGCGAGAGGCTCTTGGCCCAGTAAGTCTTATGAGTTGACGCGTGTGCCTTTCATTGATGATATTCAGGTCCCCACACCTCCTCGCAATACTGGCCACCGCAATTCGAGGATAAATTTGAGCCTTAATCACGACACCTCTCTTGACTTGTTTGACATTGACGAAAACGATTTTGAATATGAATACGACTATCAGCAGACTCGTCAAACTGAAGACGATTCCTTCTCTCTCGATCTTCAAGCCCACACTGCGAACACGTTTGCATACCCGACCTACACTCATCAAGCCTTTCCCACTCAGTCCCCCTTTGCAGATCCCTTTCAGCCATCCGGGTTTGGTATGGGGTTGGGTAATAGCCATGTGCTGAGTAGCATTTCCGAAAGCATTGAGCACCACTTCAACGCCGCTCAGCAACAAGGTTATCAGGCAGACCCCTCCCGGGGAGGTTTTTGCGCATACGGATCCGATGTTCCCGTCCAACGCGAGCATCAAGTTTATCCTCAGCCTGCCTATGTACCACTACCGCCTGTTCCCGGGCGTCCTTTCCAATACGTCTCTGCCCCTGTGCCAGAGCGACCTTTCAGCACCGCCAAGGACTTGGCAATCAAAAGGAACCCATCTCCACCTACCACTTCCCCAGCTTCAAACCCATCCGTCGATCCCCATTCTGAGTGTTTGGTCTGCCTCGCTCCTCATCCTTCCACCCTTGCCATTTTACAACCCTGTCTCCATCCCTTGTGCTCGACATGCTTGACCAGCGCTCTCAACATTGTAGGCGAGAAAGACATGGAGTGCGCCGTGTGCAAGCGAGCCGTTGCAGATTTCAAGCTGGTCATTGGGTCTGGGAAAGCCTCACCTGGAGGCCAGCTTGATTCTTCCTTTGGAACAGCGAACAGGAAAACGACGACCACCAAGAAAGCGCACAATATAAAGGGCCAAAACGATTTGAAGGGGAAATCTTTCATGGATCCTCTATTTTCGTCTCCTGGCAGCGCAATTACCCACGACACTGCGAGTTCAAGCGGAGAAAGTGACCTCGACAGCGCATTCGAGTTTGGGCTTAACTTTGGGGAATTGCGGGCAAGTACGCCAAAATTCGAACAACAACAGCAACACCTTTCACCCGATCTGAGCAACCAGAGTATCAATGGAGGTAGGGGCGAGAAGAAGGGGGACAGTAATGCCGTACTGCGGATCGACAATGTTCCTTGGGTAAGCATTTCGTCATGTTTCCATATCCATCTAATAGTTGCAATGCAGGACATAACGCCTCTCCAAATTAAAAGGTGGCTCCAGCAACCCGTTGAACGGGTCCACGTCCTATTAGACCCCAAGGGTAAGACGCTCAGCCATGCTTACGTCGAGGTCAAGACTGCCGGAATTGCGGGCGCCATTCTGAGGGGAGAGGCTATTGCTGCGAACGGCAGTAAGAAGGAGAGAGGAAGTGTCCTAGGCAGGGGCAGGCGAGCCAGAGGCGTCACGGTCACTCGTAGTGGTCAGGAGGAGCTCATGGCTGATGTCAGTTTTTCACCTTTCTCCTCTTATGCCTAAAACTGATAGTTTGTCTAGCTCTTCCCCAGCTGGCGTGGTTCTTTTGATGGTTCACGCCCTTCCCTCGCCGGCCTTGAGGCTGATAAGATCATCATGGCCTTGGGGGGCGGCCTTCTCACGGAGAATGAGGTGTCTGGATTGCTGTACCTCATTCGGGAACCTGACGTATGTCCTTATGGTGACTTCACTTTTTGCTTTGCTAACGATAGATCAAGTCCCACTTCCTCAAAGTTCCTGCGCTTCCCTTCCACTCTCTATTGAGCTTGTTGAGTAAGTTCCCCTCGGACGTGGATAGTCGGGTCTTTTGGTCTTCTGGTGTGAGGGATATTCTGTATGGTGAGGACCCTTTACCACCTTCGCAACTCAACCCCCTTGCTGACTTTTGCTCTGTGTTAGACGTTACCTATGGTAAGCCGACTATTGGTCCGCATGGGTTCATTTTATCTGACAAATGCGTGGTCATCAGCCGCCGTTCAAGTCCTCCTTCCACGCGTAGAGAAAGCGAAACAACAAAACAACCCAGACGAGGAATACTCGATGGACCTCGTAACGGATCTCGTCAAAACAGCAATGGACTGCCGAGGTATGACGCCTGTGCTAAGCGTACTCTGCAGACGTTTGACCTTCGATTACAATAGCATTCACCGCGCAGCAGATCCGAAAATTTGCAGATCTGTTGGAAGCATGTTCGCTCCCAGTACCTGTACCCTCCTTCGTTTCGGGCTCCAGCGTTTCGGACTCCACTTCACGTTCAAGCGCCCCTCGTACGCCAGCCAATCGCGACTTTGACGGTTCTCAAGCAATGCATCCCAACTCGAATGGGACGCCTCCCCAACGAAACAGTCAACCCTTTGGCGACATTGCCAGAGAGTTTGGGGTCGAAGCCCAGCTTGTTGAAGCTCTTGTGCAACGACTGGCAAGCCTCTCCTGAACCTTCACGTTGGATTTCATTCCTTTTTTTCTCTTTCCTTCTTCTCAAAGACAATGACTGTACATTCCATCATCCCCGTTTTCCGCTGCATGTCTGGGTTATGCTCGTGACCTTATTTTTCCCTATGACTTTCCTTTTCTCTTCCTCCTGCACTAGAACGCCCAAAAGTTTCAAGCTGGTCTGCTTTCGATAATCGCAATCATCACTCCATCCCACCCCCATCCATACCTACCAATCATGTTGTCGTGCCCTTTGCTATCCTGCACTCGTTTTTTTTATAGCTTTCCGTAATGGATACCTTTTTCTCTCTTATCATCATGCCCCTTGCCCCCCCGTGTTTTTACACCCACCGTATACGCTCTGTAGCCCTGATTATGACGAATACATTGATAGCCATGCGCTTTTTTATGACTATTATTTGGACATATTGAGCTCATATATCTTCGTAAAATAACTTACCTCGCATAACTCGTAATTGAGTAGGACTATTATTGGCGTTTTCGACATGATTGGCGTGGCTGCAATCATACAATTACTCTGCACATTCGCGAACTCAGTGCACGCATGCAACTGTAGCACTTTTTCAACCTGAGTGGCCCAGAAATGCCCGGTGGCCATCATCAACGTTCTTCACGTTGTCCACACACGAGAAACACAGCTCAATGTGTCAGAGTGGGATAGCTATAGCTAGCTTGAGCAAGTGTGACAGACACCCCATCGATATCATTTCGAATTCTGTCCAATTGGTCATGCGTGGATTTCTTTGCGTACTCATCGAGAAAATACTATTTTGACTTCGTTGCGGTTGCAGAACAAGTAGCTAGTAGGTTATGCCAAGATTTAATTGAACTGCGAACCCTTCGTTTCCTTTCCAAAGGCGTTCTCACTGGGAATGTTACGCATCGAAAACAGACAGCATCTGGGCAGAGAAAAAAAATCATGTAGGGAACTTCATCCGACCTGCCTGGTTCGAACAGGCGACCTCAAGATTACGATGTTTCCTATTACAGTCTTGCGCTACTTCCAACTGAGCTAAGGTCGGTTGTGAAGATAGTATACTGTATGAATGTTCATCAGTAGAATCACAACCCCTTTCACTTTCACTTTCAGGCGCTTTCACTTTCACAACCCCTTTCACTTTCACTTCCAGGCGCTTTCACTTTCACATCACTTTCAATTAACTTTCAAGGCACCTTTTCCCGCCCTTTCGGGTCTTTCCCCCTTTGGACCTCTTTCAAATTTGTTGATCAATATATTTTATAGGGTAGCATCTGGTAGCATTCGGGGTGAAGATCTATCATCTAATAGTGAATTTTCAGTGAGGATTAAAGAGGTAGAAGATGTGTTTTCCATGCCAAAATCAGGGCTCTGGTGCCATGTCTGGGACACCTTATGTCCATATATAGACATAATTTATGTCTATATTGAGACATGTCCAAAAAAAGACATAAGGTCGTCCAAAAACAGACATAAGCCATCAATCTCACACCCACGCCCAAATAGGCAGCTGCTCAAGTAGTTGACCTCCTACTGGCTTTTCTCCCTGTGCTATGCGCCGCAGGCCAGAAAAATATTTGAATAGCTCACTTACCTTGTGGGAAATTATAGGATACACTAATATGAACCCAGAATGCATTTTTAAATCATTGAAAAGAGAATTTGTGCTGTTCTAAGCATAAAGTCAGTTCCACTTAATGCAATTGCTCATCAAAGTATGTGTCGATGCTAGTAGAATATCTCAGAGTATGTGGAAGCACTTTACATGCACTTCTTCCTCCTAATGGCAGGTTGTTGCATTAAAGGCAACAAAAAGACAGAATCAATGGGTAAAAAAATGTTGTACTGCTTTAAAAATGCTAATACAGGAGTGCTGGTATGTTGTTAATATTTCCTCACATAGTCTTGACCTTCATATAAAAAGAATTTGTAACAATCTCAAGATCTGGACTGTGTTGCAATAAATCTATCTAAAGTTGACAATAAATCTGTCATAATTGAACAACCCTTGCTGTTGATCTAGGGACTGTCACGGATAGCTAAAGCCCGGGTGAACCCGAAATCCACCCATATTTGGACTCAACTGATGGATTCGGGTAAGTACCCGGACTATCCGCAGGTATCCGTGGGTAAATTAGATATTTTTAGACCTTCTTGAGATATTTTGAGCATACATGCCCGGAATAGATAAGAGTGTTATTTGTACCCCCAACTCCCTTCCACCATGACAGAATGCTATCACAACAACTTCCTGGCCCCTGCTGCTTGTGGAAGGGGTCCAAATTGTGACCTGGGCTTTGTTCCCAGCTGTCACCCAAGCTTGTCACCAGAAATCTTTGAAATCCTGTTAATGAATTCAATTTTTAGTGAAAGCAATCACAATATGCCCCAATAAAAAAACAGGAGAACATTCAAATTTACCTTGATGAACCCAGAGGTATTGAAAGAACAATTTTGGTGACACAATGTGTTACAAAAAGCTATTTAAGAGGAAAAGAAATCATTGTCCATCTTTTTTCAATCATTTGTGTAACTTTATTGAAGCTGGGTAGAAGGAGAATTTAATCAAGAATCTAAGAGCCATTTCTGCTCTGAATGTTTGAAAGTTGATATTGTGCTGGGTGAAATTGATCTGATTGTGACCAGTGGAGAATGCCCACTCTGCATCCACAGAAGTAGCTGCATCAATCATTGAAAGTAAAGGAAAATAAATGTGAATAATGCTGCTTACCTGGGGCTGAGCAGAAATCAGAACCCATTCATGAAAGTTGCAGTCGGGAATGTGATGCATTGTGCCTGTACATCATATAACCTCCCATTTCCTTCATTGTTTCTGTTGCTACCCAACCTAAATATCAATTGTTCTCAAAAGCATTTCTCTGAAACTGAAAATAAATACTCTCAAGATGGCCAAGGCATGCTAATACACACCCCCAACACTCTCTGTGATCAAGGCTCAGTTACAGCAGCATTATACAAGGAGAAAGACCTCAGATGATGATATATAAATAACTTTAGTTTCAATATACTCAATTTAAATAATATATGAATGACTTTTGTTTTAATATGAATTTTCCTGAATTTTTGCTTTCTAACACAATTTTTTTCATAAAGAACGGACAGGAAATGAACAAGATACACTCATTTATATAGCTGCTTGGTCACCCAGGCTGTTTACCCACGGATATATCCGTACTGTGCCTTATCTGATCCGTGGGTGGGAAAATCCGTGGATCGGGTACGGTTAATACCCGGGTATATCCATGACAGTCCCTATGTTGATCTATAGTTCTACATATATAATCAGTGTAAAGTATCCTGCTTCTTACATGCACATTTTTGAAAGGAATTGAGACATTCTCAGCTGTTCCAGACATGACACTAGAGCCATCATTATTCCTGTTCATTTTAATTTTCAGTACTTTATCCTTGTTAGCTCAACATGAGGAACTCGAACATTAATCTGCTTTGCAATTAATCTGAGCTTTTGGCATAATCTCCTGTCTTGTGGTTTCATGTGTAAAAATGCATGCTGATGGGAAGACTCACTCATAATATCTAACCTTTTTCCTCATAGTTGTGGCCCCTGATAGGTGCCTGCCCCATTTTTAAATGGTAGATAGGGAGAGGATATATTTCACAAATTTTCCTAGCAATCTGTCAAGTTTCTAACAAGATACATATTTGTGGTTCAATTATCTCTGTGAAAAAAAAAAAGATGTCAATCGCTGGAATTGAACTTAGGTTGACCATAAAAGGAGATCAAAAAAGCGCAATAATCCACTATACTATACAGCCCTCTATAATATTTACATGTAGTTACCATATATGTAATTTTTGAAAAACGGTGTCCTTGTCCCAGACATGACACCAGAGCCAAAATCAGAAGAAGACTTGTTGAAGGCTGTCGATCACGCGACATGTTGAACATCCGAATTTGGAAATTTTTGGACTTGTTAACTTTTCCGTTACACTACCTCTGTCCCTTCCCCTCCTCTGGCGCACGATGTCTTCACGATTGGGTATGTGTCTGGCCAGCACAAATCCTTTTATGATGACATTGACGTGGCTTATCGCCGTCGTCAGGTTTGATTCCAGAAGCAGCACCCCGCCACTCCCGTCGCATCACAAGCCCATGGTGGTTTCAGCTACCAGCAAAGTACACACCACGCCACTCAGGTCGCTTCGCCCTTCCGAAACGAAAGTCGCACAGGCGAATGACCAGCGTGCACTGCACAGATCCCGTTCCTGGCCTCACCGCTTGAGGCTGTCCCAGAGTTGGACAACGAGGAAGAGAGACCATTGCTTACGTTTTGTAAGTTTTTCCTCTCGTCTTACTGAAGGAGGACTGATAGTGCATGCGTAGCCCTCCCTAGGGTTTTGCACGACCACATCTACAACTACGCTCAGCACCGACCGACCTCGCACCCTTAGACCACGAGCATCAAGCCTTCTCCCCTGGTCCGAACCCGGGGACGCGCATCATGGTGGAGGTGCGGGATATGGATGGGGTGTCGTCGCTTGGTTGTTTGTGTTCCCCTCGTCTGTGAGTACGCATTCGCCTGACAAGGCGCTCCTGACCTCGGTGACGATGGACGACGTCTCTTCGCATCTGGTCAAGGCGGCCTGGTGGGTGTTTTTTTACCACTCGTCTCTACCCGCGACACGTCAAGCCTGCATTGCCTGGCTCAAAAAGCACGTTCGCAATGCCTACTCACTCGAAACGAGCAGACGAGCAGATGCCGTGGAATGACTTGGCCACTACTAGACGATGACTCGTCCTGAGTGTGTCCTTCCTTCCTCTCCCCCCCTTCCTTTCTGACTCTCGATATTCATCCAGCTGAACAACTCCGCGCAACGTCGAATCTGAATTACACAACTCCTCAATCACAGCACAGCAAGCACGGTGGGACTATGGTCAAGCTTTGCAGTGGGTCGGCGAGACTGTTGCGGCAATGGTTCCCCAGGCCACAACCCCTTCCAGCGAGTCTGATTTCGAGTTAGCGATGTGGAAGAACGAAAGTTCAACAGCAAGAGACAGCAACTGGTCGTCTACCAAAATAAGGAGGGGAAAGAAAGGAACGAGAGAAAAAGGGACAAAGGAATGACGAAAGAGGCACTCAGCGTCTAAGCGTGTGAGTACGTGTTTGGACGCGTGTCGTATAAACTACTTGTAGGCGATGGCGTGAGAGTCCACGGCGAGTATCAGAGAATTTTGAAGTCTTTTTGGTCGTCGTCGTTCTTGAGGGTTCTTGAAAATCTTAAAATCTTAGAAGAGGGACAATACTTGGAGAGGGAAAAAGATCCAGCTCCATTCGCAAGGTGGGAGGACACCTTAAGTACAAAAATAATTATCACAAGGCATCTGCACGTACTCGCGTGCTGCCTGTCCAGAAAAGTTCTAAAGAAAAGAAGACATTAAAAGAATAAAAGTAAAAATAGATTGTGACGCATCCCGTCAAGTTCCTCCGCCGAACCGTTGGACTGGGAATAACTCGGGGAGCTAATCGACGCTGAGAGAGGCCTATTTGCGTACGCGACTGCCCCCCTCAGTGCGGGCTTCACAGCCGTCGACGCTTCAACCCTACCATCCAGTCCTAAAGCTCGGTTTTGGTCCCCAAAAGGATTTGTCGTAAGTAACAAATAACAGCGAATAAGGAGAAAAAATAAATTCAAGCGTACGAAGACGAAGGTTTGAAGGCCGATCCTATGAAGATTGCTGATCGAAAGGTAAACGGAGATGACGTCATCAAATCCAGCAAGTTGTCCTTCGACGCGTTTGAGCGCACTGCAGTTGTAATCAATTTCGAGTATCTGAATCTTGACTTCGAATCCTAAAAAAGTAAAAGACTCTAAAATAAAAAAGTAAAAACCGTAAAAACTAGCGCGCATAAAAAATAAAGAAATAAAGGAAGTGCCGTGAGTAGTACACTCTGCACTTCCACAAATAAGGAGAAAATATAAACGATGCCCCCATCGTTTCGGAATGAGGTTCAACGGAAAAAGAAAAAGAAAAACTCAGTGAAGGGGGAGAGCGGCAAGAGCCCAGGACTCGAGGACATTGATGCTCGAAGTTTCGATGAGGTTCTCATGAGCACCCTCGTTTACCATGCTTGAGGAAGACGTATAACGAACATATTGAACTGAATTGTAGTCCGTAGGATCGAGCTCTGAAATTGCTGGGAGGTATCGAGAGTGAAGGCTGGCGGACGGTTGTGACAAGGGCTTGACAGTTGGAATGAATGTAAGGGAAGGGTTATCCGGAAGACGCGCTACGCCGACTTTAATAGAAACTGGGAAAGGAGGAGTGACTAGAAGATCTTGATTAAGAGTTCCTAAGACTGTCGACGCGTGCACTGATGATGAAGAAGAGGCTGCAACATGGAGGGAATACTCGGTAGGTTGGACTGTCCGGATCGTCTGATGTTCTTCGCGGTAATAGAAAATCTTCAAGCGGTTAGCGGCTACAGAACCACGCATTACCGTCCCATCCAACTCCCTCAGTTGATAAGTTGTGTCGCGCAACTGTCGGTGGACGATATATGGTCCAGTCCAACGCAATGCTCCTTTGTTACCCATCTGAGAATCTAACCAAGTCTCGTGCAAAAGCACCCAAGTCCCCAAAATGAACGAACCAGAAGATAAATAATGTGCGTGCTTACGATTAAAATCATCCACTGCACGTTGACGAACTTTCTTCTGCTGCTCCATGGCGAGAACCAGCTTTTTGTCACGTCGAAGAATTTGTTGCATCCGCAAGGCGAGAAGGTCTTCGGTAGAACTGACGCCGTGCCAATCTAATGTGTCCCATGTTTTATCTGCAAAGTCAAAAGCGAAAAAGGGGTGACGGCCATAGAGAAGAAAGTAAGGAGGATACCCCGTAACTTGTGACGTGGAACAACGCATAGCCCAAAGTCCTGCGTGTAGATATAAAGGCCAACGCGAAGCGTCTTCTCCGCATGCTCGCAGAATCAAATTGACGAGAGTTTGATGTGAGCGTTCAGAATGACCGTTCCCTTCAGGGTGATAAGGAGATGAAACGATGGCGACGATTCCGTATTGCTTGAAAAGGATCTCGACAGCGCCTTTGAATTCCGTGCCGCCATCGACCAGACAAAGGAGGACTCCTCCAAATCTACAGTATACTTCCTCGTACAAGAACTTAGCCCATGCTTCAGAACTAGCGCGCCTTGCCGCGCGTGCCTCTACCCACGAGATAGAAGGGTCAGTGGCCTGCAACAAGAATTTCATACCTCCAAAGCCGTCTGGCATATGTATCGTATCCAAGTCAAAACGTCGAAGGATTCCTGAGTTCCAAGTAGGGCTGAAGGCGACGATGGGGCGAGTCTTTGAACGGAGTTGGCAGATGTTACATGAACGGATGAAATATGCGATCTGGTCGAACATGTTCGGCCAAAAGAAACGCTCCGCTAAAGTCTTATAAGTAGCATCGCGCCCTCGATGTCCAACGTCGTTATGAGCTTCCGCTAATAATTCTAAACGGCGATCAGTGTCGACAACCACCAATCTAGGAATTCTTCCTTTAAGCTCGAACTTCCACAAACGATCTCCATCGTGAAGGAAAAAGTTCTTTGTCTTTCTAACAAACAACTTGCGTTCAACAGGATCCTCGCATTGGCTAGGCATGACATCCGTTTTGAGGTAGTTAATGATCTCTGACCACATTTCAGGTGAGTCACGGTCCTTGACGCCATAGGAGTGTGTTGCACATGTAACATTTGCATAAGGAGGGATGTCTTCATAGTTTATTCAATTGTCGGTTCGGAACGTCGGGTCGGGGATGCCTGGTACAACAGATTGATCAGTGACTGAAGGTTGCGGCGCACCTGGTTTTAATGCCGACATGTAAGAACACTGATATTGATGTATTTCTAACGTAAAAGTCTCTTCCCCAAGTGAACACGTCGCTACGACGGGGGTACAGACTTTTCGATGCTCGAATTCAAGTCCTGTATAGGAAAAGTCATCTGTAATAGAAAGAAGGGATCGCTTAACAAGAGATCCTTTGCTCCAATCTTTTAGCGAAGGATCAAAGCGTGCTTGTCTGATTTTTTGAATTTCAGCGGCCAAAGAAGGAGGAGGATCTACAACGCTAAGGACAGAGAGGTCGTCAGCGATAGACGTCGTAAGAAATGAAGCGTAAGGAGTGCGTGAAGTTCGCCGCATGGTCAACAATAAGTCTTGGAAGAATTCGTTGTTAAGACAAGTTGGTCGAAAAGCGTGAAGCGACTCTGAAGATAAAAAGTTTGTGAGTGATGAGGAAGAAAGGGAGGAAAAGTCGAGAGAAGCTGAGCCCATAAACCTATCCAAATATTCTTCTGCGTCTTCGTCATCAGAATCTTCGGGAGTACGTCTTCGCCGAGAGAGCCCATCAACGCCTGCATGAGATTGCGCTGGGACGTGATTCATCACGTAGTCGAATAGGGCGATGTATGAGATCCAACGTGTCATAGGTGCGTTCGGAAGGTCTGGCTGTTTTACCATCTCGATCAAAAACTTCGCGTCGACGTCGATACGGATATGAATTCCCCAAATCCGATGTCGAAGATCTTTGACTGCTCGAAAAACGCCATAGAGCTCCAACTTTGCCTGAGAATATCGTGATTCAGCATCATTGAAAGTGCAAGACCCAAAGATCACCGGGTGTTTTTCTTTTTCGACGTTCTGATATAAAATCCAACCTGTACCATTCTGGCAAGAATCGACGGCGACGATAACGAGTCCATGATCCGACGACCGAGGCAATGGGTCTTGATGTGACAGAAGCTTTGCGGCATCATAATCTAGCTTTACAAGGACTGGCGCCGTTGAGACGAGCCGCTTGAGTTCGTTTTGAGCTGCTTCTGCTTCTTCTGAAAAGAAAAACTGTCTTTGGACTGCGGTTTTAGTGAGGAGCGTGAGCGGTTTTGCGATAAGAGAGAATCCACGTATCCATTTTCTTCCGACGCCAGCAGTCCCGAGAAATGAACGGACATCTGTGACACTTGTTAGTGGACCCCAATTCAAAATCTTCGTTACCAGGCCATGCTCAAGGTGCCATCCATCTTTCGATACAATTGTCCCAACGATATGTAAGCGTGGAGTTGCAAGGACTAGCTTCTTTCCGGAAGCGGTGATACCTGATTCTATAAAGCGCATCAGAAATCTGTCAAAGGTAGAGGCATATTCGTAAACGTAGCGCCTGATGCCAGGGGCAATCTCTGCATCATTGTAAGTTGACGTGGGTCCCTTCAATCCCACGTCGTCGACGAATACATTCCCGTTCTTTGGAATTTCCTCTTGAAGCGCATGAGTCGTACAACGCTGAAATTCTGGCAATGAATTGGTCGCGCCTTGAGGCAGTACGCAAGAGCGGAGAGGTCCTATTAAACAACTAAATGTCGTTAACGGTCTTGAAGTCACCGCCAGCTTTCTTCCGTCATAGCCTGAAAATAAGTCCGCCAACCCATAAATCACATGGCCCACGAAGCTTTCTGCGAAGTCGTCAGTTCTAGGAGGTAAGCCAGCGTCACGCACTGTAACTCGATTAAGTTCTTGTACATCCGCTACCAAACGGATTCCTCCTTTAGGCTTGCCAACAGCGAAAATTCTTGATCGATAGGACGCCGTAGAATACTCGTATTTTCCTGCCGCCTTTTGTTCGAGAAGCATCTGACGTACCGTATCTTCGATGGACTTTGGGATGCGGATGGGGGCTTGAACCCAAGGGGTGTGTTCAATCACCGGTATTTC